ATCATTTGTTGCTTGATTTACACCTTTAGTTTATCACCCGGCGGGATAACGTGACTCAAGAGTTTTGTGGCCTTATTGCAACTCTCCATCAAGTGGAACACTGTGGCGGTTCCTGTATCGTGGTTGTGGATGTATTCCCACCTGTGCTCACTTACGCACCAGTTTAAGTATAAGTAGTATATGTCAGAGGAACATAACTGGGACTAAACCCAGCGACACTGGGCCGTGGACTGGGCTTGGGTTACAGCTCAGGTTGCGCCCTCTCTCTGCTTTCGCTATGTTAAATGATCATGCCCCTGCATGGAGCTATCTAATTCCAGGGGTACGTCTGAAAGGGCCAAGGAGTTGTTTCTATATATATATCTGGGCGATGTCTGCAGATGTCTGGGATGGCATTTGACGTCAAGGCTGTGTGCTGCTCAGAGGCTCACGGGACGCTCACAGCGCGGAGGGACCGCCGCCATCAGAGCTCCTCAGTGTCCGTCACCGTCATTAGAAAGCAGCCTCTAACGTGTCAGAATGCCGCCAGCTCCGCATTTGATTATGTCGTTTTAGTAAGTAGCAACCACTTTGAGATTGAACACCTAAAAAAACAAGATATTTTTTTTAATCTGATAGGTATTGTGACCGCGACTCAGCAGACAGACACACCATCTCCATTGTGGTGACATTTTGGCCTTCAGACAAGGTGTCTCAAAGGGGGACGTCTAATGCAAACACAACAGCCGAGCTCCTCCCTGGGCAGCGAGGTGAACTGGACATTCCTTACGCATAGTGGGTTGTCACTGTCGGCCTAACAGATTAACTATGACAGGGTTACAGTATTAGTATTAAAGCTCTGGGAAAGCCGTTGTGTCACTTCAACTGCACCACCACGTCAAGACCACAAGGCAGCAGAGCTGAAAGTCTGTCTCTCACATCTCAGTTGTTGATTCCTCTTAATATCTGTGTAAAATTTGGGCGATTTGATTCGCTTATTATATCGCTGTAAGTACTTTCTTCTAATTCCTTGTTCAGTAAGGCGACACTACGTTCTCTCAGCTGTCGCTGCCTCTGTGGATGACCGGCCAGACAATTCTTAGCTTTTTAAATGAGCCGGTGCAAATCTTTTCATGACCTTTTAAAGAGAATAATAATAACACGACATTAAATACTTGGGACAGAAGAAAATACAGAGTTAAATGACAAACATGTATTAGTGCACAACTCCTTCCATATTAGTTTCAGTAAGAGCTCAAATGCTATAACATGCATATGATACAAAGGGTTCCATGTTTTTCAGATGCTTTCATCAGCTCCTCTGGTTGGAGGCTTTGGAGGCCTTGAGGAGCAGATCTTTTTTCAGAGAGCACAAAATTATATGTGTGGAGATTGTTTCCACTTAAGCAGCCACGGAACAGAAACTCCTTGGAACCCGACCACAGCCTGAAATACTAAAGACTTTGTTTCTGCTGTTCTCATTACCTAGAATGTGAGTGAGCAAGACAAGATTTCTTTATGTACTATTGCTCCATCTTAACTTAAAGTGCCTTTTATTTTCTAATATAACTCAGAATGTAGTAGTTTTTCAATGATGTCTGGACCGAGATTTGAGATTACTTTAATTACAGCAAAGGTATTTGAACCTGTGCTATTTGTACTCTGCCACCCGCACGTTAAAGGAAGCATCATAATGGAGCTTATTTTCATTCCCAGAATGCCACAGCAAATCCATGCCCATCGCAAACCTCCGGAGTCCCTGACGTGAAAAGGCTGTTTGAGATAACTAAGATCTCATTACGAATCCCGCTTTCTGTCAACAGTGTAAGCACATTGATGAAGACTATGCTGACACAGTATCAGATAGAAAGATTCAGAACTATTTAAGGCAGCGTATCTCACATTTAAATGTTTAAAGTACAGTAAACAGCACTCTTGCTACATTAAATGAAGTCAATTACTTATATTGGTAAGCAAGGTATTATCTTGGCATATTCTGAGCTGTTTCTGTGCAGCATCAAGCTACAAGTTCTATACGTTGAGAATTTTATTTTCACTCATAGAAAGTTAGAAAGGGAAAAGACCTTGTGATCCAAAAATCACATTCATCCACCAATTTTCTTTCGGGTGAAAGAGAAAATCTGACAGAAATAAGCCTGATCTGTCAACAGTACTTTTCAATGCTAATTACAATTATTAAATTGACAGTCTATTATAACACGGGCTGGTCCAAGATGAACTAAATAGTGTTTGTACTAATTAGCGGTTCAATCAATGTCCAAGACAAGGCCGATGTCTAAATTCTCAGAACGGTATCTTAAAATATAGCAAGCCAATTTAATGAGAAAATTGTAAACACTTTAACTAAAATTGTTTGACTTTGACTTTTACAACTAAAAGTCAGCAGCAATAGTAATCTGTAAAACAGACCAAAACCTGAAGGAGACAGGGATTATTTTAAGAAACATATGTTTTAGCACTGAACCGTGCCTTCTTGGCACAGAGTCCTGGATCCATATTACAGACGAAGGCAGGTGCAAGAAAGAGAAGGAGATCCTAAATATATCCCTGAGGGTTCTTTAGAAGACTAGAAGACACTTGGTGTGTCCTCAGTCCCTGCAGTTGTGTGTTTTAAAGTTTCATAAGATAAGTGCATTTCTTTAATGTCTTTCAAATTGGCTCATGTTCAAATAGTGAACTATACGTTCAATTACGTATAAATTGTAATAATAGAGTATCATATCTGACTATAATGCGACACATGCATTTCCATTAAGATGTAAAACTTCTAATAAATGTGCTACATATACGCTAAAATATCCCTCCTCTGCACTTTACAGTATACATTTCTTAAATGCCAAGTCAATTAGCGGCTCAGCTGCTGGAATTTATGGAATGCCGTTTTAGTCAAAATTAAATAAATGAATAAATACATGAATACATGAAATATGCATTTGAAATACATCATGAAATAAATAAATGAGGCAATAAATACATAAATATTAGATACATTTAATTATTTCATGGTACTTTTATTTCATAATGCCTCTTTTCATTTCATGGTACGTTTATTTCATAATGCCACTTTTCATTTCATGGTACTTTTATTTCATAATGTCACTTTTCATTTCCAGAGTCTTTTATTTCATAATGCCGTTTTTCATTTCATGGTACTTTTATTTCATAATGTCACTTTTTCATTTCCAGAGTCTTTTATTTCATAATGCCGTTTTTCATTTCATGCTACGTTTATTTCATAATGCCACTTTTCATTTCATGGTACTTTTCTTACATAATGTCACTTTTCATTTCCAGAGTCTTTTATTTCATAATGCCGTTTTTCATTTCATGGTACGTTTATTTCATAATGCCACTTTTCATTTCATGGTACTTTTATTTCATAATGTCACTTTTCATTTCCAGAGTCTTTTATTTCATAATGCCGTTTTTCATTTCGTGGTACGTTTATTTCATAATGTCACTTTTCATTTCATGGTACTTTTATTTCATAATGCCGTTTTCATTTCCAGAGACTTATTTCATAATGCCGTTTTACATTTCACGTTCTTATATGCAAATCAGGGGGCGTGGCTACATCTAACATTCAGAACAACAGAGCCGTGTGCAAAAGAAGGCTGGCTAAGGGACGTGAGTGTTGACATAATGGAAGACATCGGTGGGCTCCGAGGTAGCATGCTAGCATTAGCAGATCAAATCGATCAACATGGGTTTTCTGCAGATACGATTTTGACACATATTGAGGGTTTTTGGAAATACTAGGGCAGATATGTGCTCTTTAAGATGTATACATAGACAACAAAGTTTTAAATTGTTTAAAACCGCGTGCGTGTGGAAGAGGTCTAAGTTGATGAAGTTAACATTAGCGATAGTACTACAAGCACAGGTGCTGGACGCCCGCCTCTGGATATTCCTGGCGACAAGCTAACTTTGTGTTGTCCAGTCTATCACCCCGAGAAATCCAATATCCAGGAATATCCAGAGGCGGGCGTCCAGCACCTGTGCTTGTAGTACCAGCGCTAATCTCACGTCCCTTAGCCAGCCTTCTTTTGCACACGGCTCTGTTGTCTGTTCTGAATGTTAGATGTCGCCACGCCCCCTGATTTGCATATAAGAACGTGAAATGTAAAATGGCATTATGAAATAAGTCTCTGGAAATGAAAAACGGCATTATGAAATAAAAGACTCTGGAAATGTAAAACGGCATTATGAAATAAAAGACTCTGGAAATGAAAAGTGGCATTATGAAATAAATGTAGCATGAAATGAACAGTGGCATTATGAAATAAAAGTACCATGAAATAATTAAATGTATTTAATATTTATGTATTTATTGCCTCATTTATTTATTTCATGATGTATTTCAAATGTATATTTCATGTATTTATGTATTTATTTAATTTTGACTAAAACGGCATTCCATAAGAATTGAGGTACAAAAGTCCTCCTGACCGCCGTGCCGCCACAGTCAAATAACTCATCAACAGCTTCAGGGAGGATATCCGATACAAACACACACACACACTATTTAACAGTGCCTAAAAGTTGACAAAAGCCAGGTAAACTGTTACAGCAGCTGTGGTCCCACTCAGCCTGTAACGGGAAGATCATTTACATGAACACCATGTATTATTCCATCGTCCAGTAATTCAGTAGAAATGTCAACACCTCAAAAGTCACTCAACAAAGACAACAAACACCACACACTGCCTTCAAATGTGTTGCCACGGTTGTTAAAAAGCAACTATCTTGTCCTGTGCATTAAATGGCTTCTGCAGTGTTGCATCGGGAAGCCTTTGGGTGGGAGCCGCCTGGTTCTCCATCACACCCCATATAAAGGCGTAGCAAAAGTCCAACGCTCGGGAGGCGACCAATCGCAGAGCAGAGCCTTAAAAAACGCACGGGCACCCGCACACGCCCCCCTCCAAAAAAGTATTGGATGTCCAAAAGAATGCAGTCCCCCCCCCCGTTGAGGGTACATATTTGACAGGAGCACAGTCAGGCATAGCCTGTACTCCAGCTTAGTGTCCAGTCAGGAGCAGACGCCCCAGCCGCTGTCCCGCTCCCTTCTTGCTTTCTTTTTTACCCCCAATTTAGACGTTTTGTTGGTGCAGAACAGCAATAAGCAGCCATGGACGCCATCAAGAAGAAGATGCAGATGCTCAAACTCGACAAGGAGAATGCCTTGGACAGAGCTGAGCAGGCTGAGGGTGACAAGAAAGCGGCAGAGGACAGAAGCAAGCAGGTCGGCTGATGTTTTTTGGGGGGTTTTTTGCAGAAAATCCATAAGATCCATAGAAAGTAGCAGGAAGAGCAGGAGCAGTTTAGAGCAGCTACGAGTCCATTACGTTTAAGAATAATCCCAAATTAGGAACATCGTTAAATTAGGAATAATCAATCCTTCTAGAATTTCTGGATCCTTTAAATCCTCCAACCAGCAACAGTTTTTGGCGGATGCAAACATCTCCCCAAAATGGTGTCGCTAATTTAGAAGATTTATTGAAAATCTTTAGATTGAAAATAATTCAATAATTGCATGCTAATATTGTTATTGCTTTTTTAACTTCCTGATGTGTGTGTGTTTTTAATGTGCATGTATAGTTAGAGGACGATATAAGAGAGTTGGAAAAGAAATTGCGTGTATCTGAAGACGAACGAGATAAAGTGTTTGAGGAGTTCCAAACCGCTGAGGAAAAGTTCCTGACCGCTGAAGAAGTCGCCACCAAGGTACACGATGCCGACATGCATGAGCTTCCCTAAATCTTCTTCTCTCTTCCCGGTCTCCTGTCTTCTGGGTGTCCTGTCCTGTGCGTCCCTCTGTGCGCGCTCTTGCGCCTGTGCGCGTTCACGCATCTGCTCGCTGATCACCTCTGAAACCGCTCGGCCACTGAAACCCCCCCCCCTTCAGTTGGAGGACGATTTGGTAGCTCTGCAGAAGAAGCTGAAGGGAACTGAGGATGAGTTGGACAAGTACTCCGAGGCTCTTAAGGACGCCCAGGAGAAGCTTGAGCTGGCTGAGAAGAAAGCCGCTGATGTAAGTAAGGAAGGGGGCTTCACGACGGCACCATTCCCACCACACGCTTCTTCACTTCACTTTCTTCACTGGGACCCCCCCCCCCCACACACACACACATACACACACACACACACACACACCTTGTTGAGCTATTTAAAGGAGCACATGCACAATCACTCACAAGTCTGCCCAAAGAAAGTCAGATTGGCTGTTTTACTGCAACACCTTTTATGCACTTCACATCGAATGAATCTGTAGGATGGCTCGGTGGGATCGATACCCATAGTTCGGGTCGTGTGCTCACGGTCTCGGGAGGGTTCTTTCGTGCAGTCGAATTGAGTGTTTTTCAGAGTGGACAGGAACGCGTCCTGAAGCGCAGACATCGGCCTGGATAAATATAGCCCTACCGCTTTATATGGTCAAGATGGAGCTCATGCTGCGGGCCGCGCGCTCTACTGACCGCAGGGAGGTGGGGCAGCTGGGGGCACTCCAAAGGAAAATGCGCGTTTTAAAATACATTCCCTTCGGATTGATACATGAAAACTAAACTATGTAAATGATTTATTGTCACGTGCAAAAGGTCGCCAGAAAACTGTTTTTCACGACCGTTTGGAACCCCGTGAATGCCACATCAGTTATAGTGGCCGCGCGTGCAGCAGATACTTTGGTCACAAGAGTCAATGAGGGGAAACAACTTGGGAATGTGGTTTAGAGGGGATAAAAACAATCCTTTAATTGGATTCCCCGTGGGGAGTTACGCCTTAGTGTGACTATTAGTGTGACTACTTTACAGTCAGGTGAGTTTTAGCCTCCCCTGTCACACTTGATGCCGTATTTAGCACCATATGTTTCTTTTTTTCATGCTATTTATTGTAATATACGAGTTGAACGAGTGTTTTAAAACCATGTTTCTTTACCACTTTAATATTCACGAAGGGCTTTCTGTGGTATTGACCAGAGATATTCAAGGACAATGTACTGAACGGCCTGTGGTCGGTAAAAGTATTGTAACGCTCACCCCAGTGCTGCAGCGTAAATAAGGAGGCGATGACTGGCTTGCAACTTCGGTGCATTTATTTAGGGAACTCAGCTTAACTCCGGTCACTGTTGGCCGAGACCACGCCGTACAGAAAACGCTTCCGCACACACAGCCCCCGGAACTCGCATTGTCTCGTGAGACAATCCCCCCACCTTAATAGATCTCATATAACAACATTGACCTCTGCTGGTAACATTAGTGCATAACGGCAACACATGCAACATCTGCATAACTGAATAACTCATAATAACAGGGACACATTAACTCAGCTCATTACAGTATTTTACCGCCACTTGCACCACACACAGTTGACCAGCAGATGGCGTTGCTAGTCCGTTAGACCGAGCGAGCTAATTACATTGGAACTACTGGGTGTGTTCTGGTCCTACAAAATACATCGTTACTTTGCATCAATTCAATTTCCCATTTTATTATTTCATATGGCATAACTGCAGATGGTCAATCTTTGCACTGGAATTCAGAATTGTTCATTTTCGGGTCATTTTTTTCTTAGCAGTACTTCCTGGACAACTGACGGGCAGCGTCTCGCAGAAAGCGTCTCAGAATGCTCTGCACGCGCCTTTCAGCGCAATCAAAGACGTCACCTCGATCCCTTCCCGCGACTCGGAAATTTGCGCTGCGGCTCAGAGCGCAGACTAGAAACCCTTCCTACGGCAATTCCTTGTAAACAATGGCCGGAGCTACGTCGCTCGAGGCCGTCAAACGAAAGATCAAATTATTACAAGAGCAGGCGGACGGTGCTGAAGAGAGAGCCGAGGCGCTGCAGAAGGACTTGCTCGCGCAGAGAGCAGCCAGGGAACAAGTAAGCATCCATAGGTTTGTGTCGGCTTTTTTCGGTTTTGCAGACAGAGAGGAGCTGCTTATTAAAACGCCGTATCACACGCTGCTCTTATAGCCCCTTTCTGCGCGGGTTCGTTCCTGCGGAGATATAGCGGGGTTTCTGATGAGCTTTTTACCCGGAGTAGTTCGGTAGCCTTCTGTTCTCGGCTATTTAAGCGTCTATAATTGGTAACCTTTAGCCCACCCTCCGCAATATTACTTTACTTTTCTTTTCTTTTTTAAAACACCGCGTCAGCGCGTTGCCTCATAATCGCTTTTACTTGCGCCTCCTTCGATGCACTTTGCGCGCCCCGCTCCTCGTTCAACCTGCTCTGCGGGGAATTCCGTTTATTCGCTTCCGCTGTTACACACATGTTACACATTCGGATAAATCATTTGTCAGCAATCAGGAAGTAGAATAAATACTCCGGGGGCAACATGCAAGGTGAAAGCTGAGAGTTTGCGCTCTTTGACATGCCCTTATACGGACAATAGGTGTGCACAGGAAATGTGATCCCCCCGCCCGTCTCCGACCCCCCCCACCTCGCCTCGACGGGAAATACATCTTACAGCGGTGTGAGCTTGGGCTCCACGTCGATCGTTTGAAGGGAGATGGAAGCACTGCTTCGGGGGTTATTGCCACTTCTTCCTTCGCAACCATCAGATGCACGTTGACAGAAGTGCAGTTACAGGTTTGAATGATTGTGGGGGCCCCGTGGCTCCACGGTGATTGCAGTCACCCACCTGGCATGAAACAAAAAACACAACTCCACCACTTATCCTACCGTCTTTGGGCTCACCTGTTCCTAATTTCCATGCTGTTTGTTGAAGACGCCCCGCCACTAGACATCCACTCACTCGCTCCTCTTCCCCCTCCCAGGCCGAGTCCGATGTCGCCTCCCTTAACAGACGCATCCAGCTGGTTGAGGAGGAGTTGGATCGCGCTCAGGAGCGTCTGGCCACGGCCCTGACCAAGCTGGAGGAGGCTGAGAAGGCCGCTGATGAGAGCGAGAGGTGGGTTTCTTGTGAGCAGCGCGGCCTCTGTGCCGTGTCAGATAGTGACGTCGTCGCTTAACGTCCCCAAATTCAGCATTTTGTCCCATTGTCGCGTCAGGAAACAATGAGCCCTCCACTTGAGAAGGAAGTTGTTTGAGATCTAGCAGCCGACACCACTGTGCACTGGACTTTTGTGTCCCCGTTGGCTGTCGGCTCCTGATTCTCTAACGTCCGTCGACACGGTTGCTCCCTCACACAGAGGCATGAAGGTCATTGAGAACAGGGCCATGAAGGACGAGGAGAAGATGGAGCTGCAGGAGATCCAGCTGAAAGAGGCCAAGCACATTGCTGAGGAGGCTGACCGCAAATATGAGGAGGCGAGTTTTTCAGCCATCGGCACATCAGCTTTAATAGGCACAAGCTTTAATAGGCACAAGCTTTAATAGGAAATATATAACCATTTAATAAATTCCTTATAAAACACTAATGTAAGTACATAAAATAAATGTATTTACACATTTGCCTACAACTATTAGTCCCACAAGCAAGTGGTGTATGAATACAAAGTGAAACACAATCGTAATCAGTTGTGGAATTTTTCCTAATACAGTTACATTGGAGGTACTTATACTTTAATTTAGTATATTTATTTAACATTACTTTCTACTTCAGTTATTGACAAATACTTAAACTACATTATAGTTATAAAGCATTTATTATATGTTCATCTTATGCGCAGGAAGTCCTAACAATGGGGGCGAAAGCAAAGTGTTACCAAGTGGAGCTTTAAAACCGCATGCTGGTATTGTCACACTCATGTGTTGCGTTGTAACACTTTGTTGTGCTGCACCCAAAGGTCGCCCGTAAGCTGGTCATCATTGAGGGTGATCTTGAGCGTGCAGAGGAGCGCGCTGAGCTGAACGAGGGGTAAGAGGTCCCACCTTTACACGCACTAGAGCTGCACTTCCACGTTTGCATGTGTGCACTAGCATTTCAACAGTTGAGCTCTGAGCGCACAGAACAGTGTGCCCTGTGTTCGTACTGTGTGCGCTCATCATTTGCATGCTCTCACTGGTTTGAATGGTTTTGGCTTGCACGCGTCCGCCGCGCCCATAAACAGACGGACTCGGAGAGGGGAAGAAGAGCTAAGGGGTTTGGAGCAAGGCATGAAATCACTAAGCTCCTCCGTCTTAAAGGTACTACAAACAGGAACTAACACAGATCTGTGATGAATAACTCCTCCCGCTGTCATTCATGCTGTTAAGTGTCCCCACTGCTTCACCTGTCTCTTCTTTTCTACTCTATATTCAAAGTACTTGGACTCTTTTATGTCTCTAACATGGCAGAGACTGTGCAAGAATAACACCTCACACTCAAGACAGCGCATGATATAAAGCATGATGCACAAATATATATATATATATATATATATATATATATATATATATATATATATATATATATATATATATATATATATATATATATATATATGCGGAAATAGCTTTAAACCAAATTAATAATGCCATTACAACCCACTACTTTTAGATTCAAACTTCTATTCTCACAATCCTTCCCTGTTAAGGGTTGTTTAAGGTACTCGTTGAATCCCTGTAGTTATTATTTGTCTTGTTTCCTCCCTCCCCCTTTCTTACTCCCTCTTCCTTCCTCCTGGTTCGTGTCCACCTCTGGTTCTGTCCATCCTCGCTTCCCTCCTTCTTCCTCGACCCCTCCTTCTTATCCATCGCAACTTCATCCCCTCCATCTAAAACACCAGCAAATGCTCTGAGCTTGAGGAAGAGTTGAAAACTGTGACCAACAACCTGAAGTCACTGGAGGCCCAGGCTGAGAAGGTGAGTGCGGCCTCCTGGCCGAGTGCATGCTGTCACACTCCTCAGTCAGAGGGAGCAGAGGAGCTTCTTCCCTTCACTTTTATTTCATAACCCGTCCATATCCGTAAACATTAGGGGTGTAACGATTCATTTTAACAACGATTCGATTCGAATCACGTTTCATGGTTGCCGATTCGATTCATGGACGATCTGGGTTAATTTAGAACGATTCGATTCGATTCGATTCAGTGACTTGAAATCGATTCAGTAACTTTACTGGACAGTGCAGGCAAAGTTTCTGAGATCCCTGTTTCTTGTAAGGAAATCAGGTTTAAATTAATTATGGATATTATAAACAAGCAAACAACAATTAATGGAAAATGTATTAACCTTTTATTTGAATCAAGTGCCATTTTCAATGTAAACATTACACAATAATTACACAATGTTTGGATCAATTTACAGAACCCCGGATTTTCAACCACATTGTAGGGTCGCATGTCTTTACAGATAAACAATTGTTACTGTGATGTTGAGTTTTGTGCTGGCGAGGCCTGAGGTGTCTGCAGAGCTGGAGTTACCTTCTGCCGCTGCTGCAGCGGTGACGCTGCTAGAGGTCCTGACTGTCGGCGTTGTTTAATCCCACGGCGCCTTAGTAGATGGCCGGAAAGATTCATCGTGTTTCTGTGTTTTTTTATTTAGCTTCTACATATTCTACAAACAGCGACCGACTTATTTAGAACACCTCCGTGTTTGCAAAAGCCAAAATGTTTCCACACGCTGGATCGATGAGTTGGTTTGTAAATGTCTCGCTCGCAGTCGTCTCCTCCACGCTGTGTTTTGTTGTTGTTCAGAGTTTCGCGCGGCTGCCGCTGCGTACTGATGACGTCACAGACAGGCAGACTGAATCGAGTAACGTTTAACGTGTCTAAAGTGCTAAAAAACAAACAAACAAACACACATCCATACCGTTTTTGTACTTAAATCCAATGTGCAGTTTCCATGTATCAATACAATTGATTATTTACCATTTCAATCGATTTGTAATCGATATATGTCGTCCGGAATGCCGATTTGCTGAGCACAGATCGATTCAGTTGGATCGCAGGAATATAAATCGATTCAGTGAATGAATCGTTACACTCCTAGTAAACATTCATGAAACATGCAGTGTCACACCCTCCAGGAAATACACGAGACCACAAATCGTACTGATTCCGCTTGTCCACCGTCGAACTAAACACACGTCACACGGCTATTAGCTAACATAACAAAAACGTATCGATATGAACGTATCGATACAGATATGACAAGACATTAAACAAACGTACCTCACTGGCTGCACACGACCGAGAGGGAATGATAACACTTGAGCTGAGGAACTACCTTGTGAGACCTACATCTTAACATTATTACAACACACACCTGAGACCTTACTTTCTTCGCATGCTTCTTGGCTGTGCGACACCAAAACATGTCCCCCTAAAACCAACCCAGCAAACATAGTTCTCCCAAACCAAACAAACAAATATTCCTGAGAACAACCCACAAACAAATAAACAAGTGCATCAGGACATCATACAAATGACACAAAATACATTCACGGCAATTAAATGCAGAATCCACGGCCATGTGTTTGACACCTGTCGGTGTTGTTTTTTTTGTCCCACAGTACTCACAGAAGGAGGACAAATACGAGGAGGAGATCAAGGTCCTCACCGACAAGCTGAAGGAGGTAAAGTTTCATAAGGCCCCATCTGCAGGCTGAGGCCCCCCCCCGAGGAGATACTAATCTCAGGTGGCGTATCACACTTTGAGTGTTGCACTTACTCCGTGGTTTGTCTCTGTAACACAGGCTGAGACTCGTGCTGAGTTTGCTGAGAGATCAGTAGCCAAGCTTGAGAAGACCATTGATGACTTGGAAGGTAGGATATTCTCGCCCTCCTCCCTAGAAAGCTACTTTGTTTGTGTTGAAAGGGTTATTGTGTCAGTGATGGTGTCATGGCAAAAAAAAAAAAATCTTACGCCTCTTGTTTGCTTTGCTCTTACACTGTATTTCTGCTTCCGTCTTAATGGCGTCATGGCTCTTTTCCAGACGGCATCGTGTTTATGTGTGGTGACTCTTAGTCTACTAGTGGTCTGTTTTCTACGTCCTATGGTAGGAAAGACTGGCTTTATGTTTATCACAGATATCAGTCTTGAATGTTGACTTGGTGGTCAAGGACTTAAGGTCTCTCTTCATGACGCTGAGGAATTTCCCCAGACTTTTGCTTTTTGCTCTTCCATTCAGTCATTTTCTGGTGTAACTTGTTTTCCTTTTTTTCCCCCCGCCTTCAATTTTCTTTTCTCGTCCCCGTCCCTCCCCCCTGCACCATTCGGCCCACCAATAGATGAGTTATATGCCCAGAAACTGAAGTACAAGGCTATCAGCGAGGAGCTGGACCACGCCCTCAACGACATGACCTCCATGTAAATCTCGACCCGCTGCGCCTGTGTATTTTCGTTATGATACTGAATGCCTTTTCCACTGGACTTGAGTCCTATTGCGCTTTGCCGATTTGGCATTAAAGGCATTTTATACACATTCCTAGATATTTCTAAAAACTATATTTTCACATTCTGGCAATGCATGGGAGTTGAATTGCGGTTGAGCATTTTTTTTTTAATGAGTCGGATTCTAACTCGAGTGTTTTGTCCCTCCTCTTCTACTAACATGGTCAACTTCTGTGCAGAAGAAAGCCCCCCGAGTGTTTTGCAAGAGCGCCCCTTTTGCGGTTGTACCATTTGACGGTTAACTCACAACGTAGCGTCCCATTAGCAACCCCCCCCCAATCTAATCAGAGGAAGGAGTTGGTCCGTCCTCCAGACGGTGTTTGCCAGCATGTGCTGACCTCACGATGTCGTGCCGCCGCGTGTTCCGGCTCCGTAGTGGTTCAGGTGCATTGTGGTACTCGTCTCCGATCCGCGTAGGTCCCGCGCCGACCCGCTGGTTCACTGTGCTTCTTCTCTCCCCACTCAGATAAATATTTCATACCTCATCAAAGACGCCTCCTGCCGGCTGAGCGGCATCTGTCTGCTCCCTCCAGCCGTCTCTCAACTTCCCCGTCCCTCTCTTGTCTTTGCTTTCCTTTCCTCCTCATGTTCTCACCCTCAAGTCAAAGTCGATTGCATCCCATCACTTGTACAGACTCCTAGAATCTTTCTGCATTGTGTAAAAAATAAACGTCCTTCCTTCTATGTAAGCTGTATCTCTTTACTCTGTCCCTTTTTTCCTCTTTAATTTATTTATTTTCAAGTGGCTCGAATTAAACTAAGTAGCCCCGATTTTAAGTTATGATCCTCATCTTTTCTGCATCTCAACAAGCCATTCGACGAGTTTCACACAGCTTTTTTATATGTTTTTTTATTTCATTCAAATATTTTCTGTGAAGCTGAGATATAAGGAATATCACAGTAGTGACGTGAGCACAGAAACCCAGAACAACTGCAGGTACTGGACTAAAAGCTGAGCCAAGTTGTCTTCTCTCTTAGCGCCTGATGAATGCAGGCACTTTTCAACATTTAGTAATGACTTGAAAGACTTGAGAATTGTAGGGAATTAGTGTTGGATTGTGGTGAAGTAGGAGAGTAAAGAGTGTAACGGTGGAGTACAGAACAGTGTGTAAGATTTGTTGAGCCTCGTGTGGTTGCTGGAAAAAAAATGGAGTTAATTGCTATTAGTGATTATGAGACCTGGGCTTTGTATGATACACAGTATCCTGACATCTATTTGAATAAATAAACAATGACATATACTGAGTGTTTTTATTAAAGTTGTCACCATTACTTTGAAACGTCGTGATTGAAGACGTAATGAATGAGCCTCGTTCTTCTGGTCTATCCTCAGTTTGCAGCCACATCTAAGCAGGTGATGAGATTCACTCGATAGAGAGCAAGATGTCAGATAAACAGTGCACGTAGTTACTGTTTATATTTTGTTCCCAAATTATACTGGTTTATAGGTTTTATTATTACGCTGCCATTTTATCTTTTGACCTATTGGGATTAATCTTGCTCATTTGCTCGACCTTTTCACGCAAAACCGCCTCTCAAGAACAAGGACGTCAAAACACAGTTTGATTATGTTACTTAATGGCTGTTCAGATGGTGTCGGTGTGTTTCATAAATGACTTTAAACCGTTACTAATGGCCTGTTCTGGTAAGGTAAGTGTCAACCGGCTTTTCTTCTGACTTCCTGTCTCTCTGTTTCTCTACTTGCTTTCTGACTGCAAAGATCGCCTCCACCATCAACTTCAGAAAAACCGCCTTCTCACTAACGAACTGCACTTGGCCTTGGACGATGACTAAACTGTGCGGATGTCTCACTTGTGTGTTACGGTTTAATGTGTGTGTGACAATCTGATCCAGAGCCAGATCCAAAGTTCTTCCGTTGGTGTCGTATGATACTCGCACTGCTTGAAAACTGTGTTGCTGTTTGTGGAAATGTAATCGAAGTTTGGTGAAAATCAGGGACTCAAATATATAATGTATCGTTTTTATTATCTAATACTGTGTTTTTCAACCTTTTTTGCGTCAAGGCACACTTGAGACACAGAAAAAATCTCAGGCACACCAACAACCGGAGATTATATGAAAATCAATCTCAAACATAGTTTCAGCATGAGCATAATATACTCAGGGACAAATCAGGGAAACGCGTGTTCTATTTGTTGTGTTTTATTAAACTTAACATCATCCTAATGCCAAGATGGCACAGGCTTTATGCCCAGGTATCTCTTAAGCCTAGTTTATGCTTCTGCGTTTTAAGAGCGACGCAGACGCAAGACCCCCTTGCGTGTCCCTTGCGTCGCTTTTCACACCTCCTCACGTCCATGCGTGTGTCGCGACATTTTTCTCCCGCAGCGCACCAGGCTGCGATTGGTCCGCTAACTACATCCTTTACGGAGTCTCACGTTTCCGCTTCCATAGCCCGATACCGCCATTATTAAAACAAAGAATATTTACGAGAGAACGGATCAGATTTAAGAACTTTTGTCGGAAGAAATGTGCAAATATGACCGCTTATACAAGCCGTCATTGGCGGGTTTTTTATGGATTTTTTGTTGTTAACTGTTTGCATGGTGGCTTGCACATCCTAAAACGAGCCGTTTACTCATTATCTGTTTCTCTTGTTCTGTGTCCTAGAAGTGGAGGTTTAGATGTGTTTGGTTATGTAACCTCCTTGATTATTAATGCAAGCTAACCAATAACTACTGCTTGATTGTGTGAGATTATAACTTCTCCATTTGATGTTCTAACAGAAAAACTGTCTCAAGCTAAGGAAGAGAACCTCGATATGCACCAGATGCTGGACCAAACTCTAATGGAACTGAATAATTTGTGAAAGCACGGTCCGACCCCACATGCACTTGTGGTTTTGGCTTTTTGTACATGCACCTTGCTAACCATGAACCTCTCTCCTCATACCTTGCCGATGGTAGAGATGAAACGGCTAAATGCATTTGTTATTTCACCGTCCTGCCTTCAGCGGAAGTTGACCAAGGAGCAAAGCTAAGGGGAAGTAAAGCTTAACTATTCCCTTTGATGAGGCCTCAACTGTTATTTTTTCGCAAGCCAGTTTTTAATCTTGTAATGATGTCCGCCTTTTGCAATCCTTGAGAACCTTGGTGGTAACATTTGTAAATTGGTTTTCTATTGCAATGAAGCTAATCTGGTCCATTCCATGCTACCTAGATTATGCACATACATATAGACAAAGTGTAGAAATGTTGCACATAAATTCTGTAAAACATATTTACATGCCCTCCTCCCAGAAACTTTCTTAACACGTGTTGGTGTAAATTGGCTCTGCCTGTCATCATTTAAACGGGTGCTACTGTATTGTTAAGCAATGCATTACAGTATATTCTTATCCTTTAAAACCATGGTTCAACATTTCTCCATCTTGTCTATGAAGTAGGATTTCAGTCATCTGGTTGTGCATTGTATTAATGTAGATGTGTCATGTCATTATCATATCTGACATTTATAAATCATGAAAATAAAAAGCCACGTTTTGAAAGTTTTCTAACTTGTATACTAGCCTTTTTTCCATCTAGAGGTTACCTACATAAATGGCAAGTGATTGAATCAAACCTGATGCAATGCCATGGAAACAAAATACTATTTGTCAGAAAAATTAAAAATAATATTAATTTTGTAACCCTAAGAATTAAGCACAAGGTGAAGCTAAGGACGGATGTGTATGATTTACAGAGGTTTGCAACAGTTATAGGAGTGTTTTTATAGCATCTGGATCAGCAGCCAGACAAGAAGAGATATGCAGCACTTATTGGAAAATGTTATAGGACATTTCTGTATAACACATATTTATTAAACTGTGTGGGAAATGGAAAATTCTGCATTTGTTTTTGTATTTTACACGTCTACTGCTTATATATGCATTATGGTTAGGGGGTAAATGGTTATATTTTTGATTATTCTGTCAGATCTGCCTGAACATGGAACATCTGAATAAAAATGAATACTGTGGTGTATTTTGTACTATTTAATATGTGCATTAAGTTTGTCCTGAATACTTTGCGTTGTTAGCTAGAGGTATTCTGCGCATGTCTGAGGAAGAAAAAGATGGACAATGCCCTCATGCCGAGCCTCGTGTGTTGTATCCCAACTATAGCGGCTTATACACAACAAAAACTATCCAAAAGCCGCAGCAGGCTAAGACATGAGGAGATTATACTCAAGACGCGTCGCACTGAAGTATTTCATCTGATGTTTATTACTTTGTTTCACCAGCAGAAAGAATACACGCCAATCACTTACATTGATAGATGCCTTTCATCAGTCAAGAGAGGATCAACAGCGCATAAAACTTCGTAGTGACGTTAGTGACAATAATTACTCCAGTGACAGTGCAGAGCAGTGTGTTGTATCCCAACATTACTTATTAAACAGTTAAACGCGTGCCTCGTCTAGTTATTTAGTACACCACATAATTGGCGACTAGATAAATTGGTTACGTAGTGATGGCGTGTTTTTCCCAAAGACCGGACGAGTTCAAGCCGGAAGTTGAAACGTGGTCTGCCTATGTTGAGCGCATGGAGTTGCTGTTCGAAGCTCATGGTGTCGACGATGGAAAAAAAGTTCCCATATTGTTGAGCTCGATCGGCGCATCGACGTATGGCCTTTTGCGCAACCTGGTCCAGCCTGACAAGCCTAAGGACAAGACTTTTGATCAGGTTGTGACGATTCTGAAGGATTACTATGAGACCATTGGTCATCGCCGAGCGTTTCAGGTACCGTAAATGTGTTCAGAAAAGCGGTCAGACAGTGGCGGAATATGCTGCTGAGCTGCACCAGCTCGCTGCGAAGTGTGATTTCGGGGACAGGCTGGATGAAGCTCTACGGGATGGATTTGTCGGCAGAGTCAGTTCGGAGGCATGCCAGCGCAAATTGCTCTCGGAGGATAGACTGACTTTTGCGAGAGCTGTGGAGCTTGCTGTTAACATAGAGACAGCCCACCGAGATGCACAGCAGTTGCGGAAGGGTGATGACGTCACCGCTCTTCACAAGATAAAGGAGAGGCGACGCTCGCTTTCAGAGCAGGAAGGGTGCTATAGATGTAAAGGAAAGGGTCATAGCGCCAGTGATTGTTACTACAAAGATGTGAAGTGGCATAAATGTGGCAACGTCGGGCATATTCAGAAGGCATGCAGGACTGGGGGGCAGACACGTGAGAGGCAGGAGAAAAAGGGAAAGAGGAACAGTGTGCGAAAAAAGAAAAAAATGACAGGCTACGTACAAGCTGACGAAATGGAAGATGACATCTGGCAGCCGCCTACCAACAGGTCCTTTCGGATGACGAGTCCAAAAAGTACACAACTGTGAACCTGCATAAGGGACTGTTTGTGTACAATCGGCTTTGCTTTGGCATTAACGTAATGAAGGATTTCAACGTTGTGGTCTATTTGGATGACCTGCTGGTGATGGGCAGGGATGAAACAGAGCATCTGATGAACCTGGACAGGGTTCTACAGCGACTACAAGAAAATAGCCTGAGAGTAAAAAAGGCAAAGTGTGACTTCGGAAAAACAGAAATCGAGTACCTAGGTTTCATGTTGGATGAAAAAGGAGTCTATCCTTCTAGGGACAAGGTCAGAGCCGTGCATGATGCTCCAGCACCCACAAACACCAAAGAGCTCAGAGCTTTCCTTGGGTTAGTGAACTATTATGGACGTTTCTTGCCGCAGCAAAGTACTGTTTTGGCCCCACTTTACAGACTGCTGAAGGACCAAGCAAAATGGGGGTGGGGAGAAGTGGAGCAGAGCACATTTGATAGGTGCAAGGAAATGGTGGTAAGGTGTTAGTTCACTATGATCCGAACCTGCAGCTTTCTCTCGCATGTGACCCGGTACGACAACGGACAGGTCCGGTGTCGTACCGGGTGAAGGGAGAGTTAACTGACCAAGTGTACAGGCTCGGTGCGCGCGACTAAGCAGCCGTCACGTTACGGAGATTAAAGCTGTAATGATGCGGGGACTTGTTCAGTTACTGAAGATGGTTGAGTTATTGTAACATTAACATGCTTTGTTTAAACCGCAGAAATCACTATTCTGTGACAGAAGTATAGTTTTAAGTTGGTGTTATGTTTATGCACTATGTGGGGATTACCTTGAATTTTAAAGGGGAGGTAATGTGGTGTATTTAGTACTATTTAATATGTGCATTAAGTTTGTCCTGAAGACTTGCCGTTGTTAGCTAGTGGTATTCTGCGCATGTCTGAGGAAGTAAAAAGATGGACAATGCCCTCATGCCGAGCCTCGTGTGTTGTATCCCAACTATAGCGGCTTATACACAACAAAAACTATCCAAAAGCCGCAGCAGGCTAAGACATGAGGAGATTATACTCAAGACGCGTCGCACTGAAGTATTTCATCTGATGTTTATTACTTTGTTTCACCAGCAGAAAGAATACACGCCAATCACTTACATTGATAGATGCCTTTCATCAGTCAAGAGAGGATCAACAGCGCATAAAACTTCGTAGTGACGTTAGTGACAATAATTACTCCAGTGACAGTGACGGTGACGATGACGGTCAAAAGAAAGTTTGTTCCCCATGCTCACCCTGCAGCCATGCTCCAAACAACCCGCCGAGCCCCACAGGTCAACAGACACACGCCAATATACACACCACACCCCCTTACGGTGTCGTAGATACAAATGACGTCACACCACACACGCACATACAAACAATGTAGAAGGAAAGAAGAAATAATACAAAAGAATAATCAAACCCAATGTATGGCTCCTACATTCCGGCCCCAAATATTTCATAGTAGACAGTTTACGATAGATAACACATTTACTCAGAACCCTTCTGATGGCAACACAGGCACCGGGAATCCTACTTCTGACGCAAGTGAGAAAGCATGTGGTTTCGTCCACCATGGCCTGTTTCTTGATGTACATGAGCAAGGATAAGATTAGAAACGTGTTGATCTTTAGCCAGTATAACTGGATGTTTCGCTTCAAGTGGCACTGCTGCTCTACTGAGCCGTCCTCCAACCCTAATGAGATCACCATCCAGGATCGGGTTGAGCTTGTAAAGATGACTTGTCCTTCTTACACACTCTCCTTTCTTCAAATGGGACAGTTCCTCCGAAAACTTCCTTTTGTCAGAAACGGACAATATTTAACTCTGCCATGACCATATCTTCCACGGATAAAACCTCTTTTGGTACTTGAGACTTAATACCTTCCATCTGAACCTGTATCTTTTTATCCAGCTGATCAATACTTAGATCTGTCTTAGAAAGGTCTTCTCTCACCAGCTTTCGATGTTGCACCAAGGATAGGAGCAAGGTCTTAAACCTAAGAAGCCAACCAACAGCCCTCTTAAGACGGAACTAGGAGGAAAGGTAAAAAATGAGCTTCTGCACAGGACTAACCTGCTCAACTTGAGCAGCGTTCACCACCACGGCCTTGACCTCTGGGTCTCCAAAGAGAGAGCTTTCCAAGGTCTCAGGATTTTTGGGCCACCTGTACTTGGGCTCACGAAGAAAATCAGGACCACAGAGCCATGCATCAGTCTTTAAAAATGACTGAACACTCATACCTCTGGAAGCTAGAGCCGGGTTTGTTTGCTGTATTCACGTACCTCCACTGTGATGCGTTAAATGTTTTCAATATTTCAGACACTCTGTTTGCTATGAAGATCTTAAACCTAGATGTCTAATTTTTTATGTATTTCAAAACAGAAGTGCTGTCCGTCCAAAAGACCGACTCTTCAAGGTCCATATGCAGCTCTTTCCTCCACAAGTTGTCCATCCTGCTAGCCACCACCACGGCAGTCAGCTCCATACGGGGAATGGTGACAAGTTTTAAAGGAGCTACTCGTGCCTTTCCCATTACAAACGCACGGTGAGTTTTCCCGCTATCGTCATGGAGTAACAGGTAAGTCACAGTCCCAAACCCTTCCTCACTTGCATCTGCAAAGTGGTGAAGTTGAGCAGAGGCAAGACGACCACAGTCCAGTGGTTTTAAACACCTACTGACCTCCCAATTTTCAAGATCATGAAGGTCTTCCAGCCTGATCCTTTGCCCTCTTTTGTTGTAGGAGAATGGACAGCCAAGAGGGTCGTGAATCGAACTAGTCACGGACAAGATTCCCCTTCTTGTGAGTGGGTGGGGCTTAAGTGTAATTTTAGACTTGAATGAGTCAGATTGGACGCACCACTGAACACCCAATGCACGCTCTACAGGCAAAGCATCACTGTCTAGATCCAGATCTTTTACCTCTTTGGCCCGCTCCTCCTGAGGGATAGTAGCGAGGACGTTGCGTTTGTTACTAATCCATTTTGTGAGCTTAAAACTCACATTAGCACACAAGGCACAGAGCTCTCGACATAAGAATACTGCTTCCTCTTCAGAGCCAACAGACACCAAACAATCATCGACGTAGAAATGGTGCAGTACAGTGTTAACTGCCACAGGACTGAAGCACTTTCGATTGTCTTCAGCACACTTCCTCAGGGCAAAACAGGCACAGCTAGGGGAGGAAGTAGCACCGAATAGATGCACCCTCATTCTGTACTCCACTAGCTCCTGAGTGCAATTTCCATCTGGCCACCACAAGAATCTCAACAAGTCAGAGTCTTCAACTGGCACCCTGACCTGATGAAACATGGACTCATTATCGGCCATGAGCATGACAGGTTCTTTGCGGAATCTTGTGAGGACTCCCACTAACGAATTGGTGAGATCTGGTCCCTGAAGAAGCTGTGAGTTCAAAGACATCCCCCGAAACGTGAACCCACAATCAAAAACTACTTGCAGCTTTTTCTTTTTGGAATGATACACCCAATGATGGGGTATATACCACACCCTTCCATCAGAACGTGCCAGCTGCCCAGTAGGAACTCTCTCCGCGTAGCCATTAGTCAGCATCCCGGACATGAATGTAATGTAATCGGAGGGAAAAGATGGATCTTTATTCAAGCGCCTTTTGAGACTCAACGTACGCTGTTCTACAATGGTCTTATTGTTTGGCATTTTGAGGTATCTTTGTCTTACCGGCAAACCAATATTATAATGACCATCACTGAGCTTGGCAGATTCAGAAACTGACTCAATGAATCGCTTATCCTCTCTCGACAGACCTGATTGTTCATCATGCAGATTTTCAGGAAAATCCACCTTCAGTTGTTTTTCTCAAAGCTCATCAAGTCTCCCCACAGAGATGCGATTAACTGTGATGTCGGGCTGTGAACACTGGTCACGGATCTGATTATCTCCTCGTAGCGGACCATTCACGGTCCAACCCAGAATGGTCTTAATTGCATGAGGGCCGCCGTTCACTAAGTGAACCACCTCCCACGGCTCCAGAGCTTGAGGGACGTTAGTGCCAATCAAAAGGTCCACCTCAGCGTCAATTTCTGGTATTTGTGTGTGTCTCAGGTGCGGCCATCTTTGGAGGTCTTTTGAGCGTGGAATGTTACCTCTATGAACAGGCATGCTTCTTTGAGTAAAAATCTCAGGCAGGTCACAAAAGCTGTCAGAATCCAACCTGGAGACTTCCAAGTTTGACAACTTGTAACTGTCCACCACTTTCTCTTGCCCCATAGTTCTAAGGAGGATGCGAGCTTCTTCCCTGTAAGATTGAGCCGGTCCATGAGCCGCTCTGTACAAAACGAGGCGGTACTCCCCGGATCCAGAAACGCATACTTGACTAAGGTCTCTTGTCCCCTTTTGGATTTCACCTGAACAGGCAAGATAGAAAGTGTACAGTCCTGCTTACCGGCCCCAGTCAAGCCACTGGACTGAACAGACACCACAGCGCTTTCTCTGGCTGGTTCAAAGCCACCATTGGCCTGAGTCGAACTCTTTTGTTTTGCTTTGGGTTTGAAATGCAACAACGTGGGGTGCCTATAATCGCATACTCTACATATTAGACGTTTTCTGCAATCTTTACTCATGTGCCCAACGCACAGACATTCAAAGCACATACGGTTCTCCTTCAAAAAAGACAATTTTTCATCTTGTGTCCTTTTATCTAAAGGACATCCAACGAATGTCCAGCTCCACAAAACAAACAGACTTTCACAAGCGAGTTCTTTTCTATTTTGTTCCCAGACTCCACTTTCATCACTTTCCACAGCAGGTGTTACAGTAGTGGCAAAACTACTGCCTCTAGCCTTTGAACCAGTTTGAGAGTGCAACTTGACCATTTTTAATTCCTTTCTTCCTGTCACAGGTGTATCTTGCACCTGTGTAAAGATTTCACTCGGAACAAATTCTCAGAGATCGTAACGCAGATCGCTTGACTACCCGGGTAAAATAAGACCGTTGCTATTGACCAAACGTGAATTCCACCTGTGGAATAAGACCGTGGAAATAGCCTATACGTGAATTTTATGCTGAAGCAGGTAAAACGATATCACTGTTATTGTTAACCAAATGTGAGTTCTACTGAATTACCTTTAGAATAAGATCGTGAGAATATCGTAGCGTGAGTTTTACACTGAAAAACATTCAAAACGATATCACTGTTCTTGTTAACAAAACGTGAGTTCTACTGAATTACCTTTAGAACAAGATCGTGGCAAAATCGAAGCGTGAGTTTTGAGTGGGGTTTTTCCTTGAGTAACGAAACTAAGCCTTACGGTGACGACTGTATTGCAATAAGTAAACCGGTAGGGTCCACCAGTAAAAGATGGGTGGCCAGTCCGCAAAACACACGGAACCGTCGGGTCCGATTGTGGCAATGATGCAGCAGAAATAGGGGAAAACATGTACAGAGTGTCTCCCATACTGGACAAAAGAGTTTGGGTTTCCAGAAAACGGCTCGTTGAGTGCCGCTAAACTTAAAATGTTAAGAGGGGATTTGGAAGCAAGGTTAAAAAATTTGAAAAGTGGTAAAAAGATCAAAGTTAAAGACTCGGAAATAATAGAGACAACCCAGACATGTCTGGCACAATGGGAAATGGAATGTGAATGCAAGGAGAGAAAACAAACAATGAAGCAAATGGCGTGTCTAAAACCTGAAAAGTCTGACATAGAAACACAGAATAATCCACTTGTGTCTTCTCCACTGTATCCATCCCTGACAGGGGCAAACTCCAAAGCCCCTGGCCTGCCAATGGTCAAACCCTGATATGGACAGTATGGACGGTAATTTTGACGGCTCCCTCATCCAGGCCCCCATGATTCAGGTCCCGGGACCGGATGGGCATCGTGGTGTCATGTTCCGACCCTGGACAGCGACTAATATTCAACAGGCAGCCTCTCACCTGCCTGACATCAAAAACGGTGCAGCCTTTGGAAAAGAGTTCCTGGCCTTCTGTAAAGAATTCATGCCCACCGGACCCAAGATCCATCGTCTTCTGGTCAAACATGTGGGCCCGAGTGCTTTCAGTAAAATCAGAGCGGTGGTCACTGGTCAGGGCTCTGACTCCCGCCACGAGGCACCCGACTGGGATCATGCAGATAACGTCGCCTACAGAGCATTTGTCACCGCAGTATGTGCAGCTGTTGTTACAGCTTTTCCGGCAACAGTAAACATGGCCCTCATCAACAGCACAAAACAAGGTAGGACCGAAGATGTAACGTCTTACTATCAGCGTCTTGTGGCTGCTTTTCAGATTCACAGCGGCCTCGAGGAGCCCACAGACATAACCAACATGACTGTGTGGGAAACTCATCTCAAGAACGCCTTCATGAACGGGCTTCTGCCAGACGTCAAAACTGCCACTGAACACTCTGTCGTGGGTCTGGAAGATGCAAGGCTCACAGAAGTGGTAAAACATGCACAACACAACTATAAAATGCATGTGGAAAATCAAATGTGTCAAGACAAACGCAGCAAGCAGACTGGGGAGAAAGCCCAGCTTGCGATGCTCCAAGCCGTAAAACAGTTGACACTGGGTGCAGAAGGAGGACGAGACCCCCACCCATCCGGAAATTCTTATGGGAGGGACCAACAGAGAGGACGAGCGTATGGAATAAATCATGGGAGAAGAGGGCGTTTTCAAGGAGGGGCCCCACGAGAAGTCCAACCCGATGAATGCTTCCTCTGTGGCAAAACAGGACATTGGTACAAAGACTGCCCCTACCGTCCAAACCAGGTACGTCAGCCACATGGACGACAGCGCCACTCCGGGACTGACAGAGGGGGTCAACAATTTGGCACTTCAGACTGACGGTGCGATGGGGAGGGAGAGCGCATGATGTGACGGAGGACCGACTGCTTCCTCTCCAAAACAGGGAAGTGAAACACACCACACACACACAATGCTGCAACGAAGACCTGCTTCCTTGCACGCACACCCACATACACACGCACACACAATGCTGCAATGAAGACCTGCTTCCTCGCACGCACACTGCAGAACAACATGCTGTTTTGCTCAGCATCATTTCTCACTTAGAGCAACAGCAACAGAATACATCCACACCACCACCACTCACGTATGCTATGTTTTCATCAGATGCATACAAAGATATGCCAACTACAAGAGTAATTGTGGAAGGAAAAGAAATGACGTTTTTAGTAGACTCCGGAGCTACTCATTCAGTAATTCAAGAAAAATATTTTCCAAATCAAAAAATGAGTGGGCTGTATGTATATTCTCAAGGGGCTTCAGGTTTGACTGTGACAGAAAAATTTACTGCACCTATGACGAGTGTACACTCTGACGAGACTGACCTAAACCCTGACATAAAAGTAAAACATTCTTTTTTACTCTCTTCACTCAGTCCGATAAATCTGATGGGCAGAGACTTGATGTGTACATATGGTATTTGTTTGACGTCATCTCCAGACGGCCTTAAAGTGGTTAGGCGTAGAGCTGCACTCCAAATGGTGCAAAAGGCTCCCTCTAATCCTCTTTTTGTGTATCAGTGGTGGATCCCGATCGATGATGCTCGGAGGCTAAGCCAGGCTGGTGAAGCACGGGTTTCTCCTTATGCAGACCGTATGAACCCTGAACACCTGCATTGCACAACATATGTCTCAGAGGGTCCAGACGGCTCTTCTGAAGAGACATTTTTTGAGGCCCTCAATGATGCAATTGCCTGTTCTACTTTGTACTGGTCAACTTGTAAACCTGCTGTGTCTATTTCTCTGTCTCCCACACAGAAAGAACTGTTTCAAGTTCCCAGCTCACATCCCCATGTCTCACTGTCTAAAGGACGCCTTGACCAATGGAGGGATTTGGGACCATTTGTGGCTCAGTGTGAATCTCTCACTGACTGGGAGGAGACAATCGATCCGCTTGTTCTGCGCTCCGCCTCTACAGGGTTTCACAGAACTCACTGTGTACTCCTCACATCAGCTTGTCGATCTGTCTATGTGTTTTATGAGCACAACGACAAAGTTGAAACATTTTTAACAACTCCCACGTCAATTTCTCCCGCTCTTGCGTCTGTTCCACAGACACTCTGGGTAGCACACAAATATGACGTAGACTTGATCAACAACTGCCAACCCGTCGTCATCACTCCACATTCTGACTTCCGCCCCCACAAACACCAGTACCCCCTCCGACAAGAGGCCATTGACGGTATTACACCTGTATTCAATTCGCTCCTGGAGGCAGGAGTGATAGTTCCATGTCCAGACTCACCTGTCAGGACGCCAATATTTCCAGTGAAAAAAATCAGAGATGCTGGCAAGCCTACAGAATGGCGTTTCGTGCAGGAGCTAAAAGCAGTAAATGCGGCCGTTCATGCACGGGCACCAAATGTTCCTAATCCTTACACAATCCTAGCTCAGATTCCTCCTGAAGCTAAATGGTTTTCTGTTGTTGACCTGTCGAATGCTTTTTTCAGCGTGCCAGTCGACAAAGACAGTCAATTTTGGTTTGCATTCAACTTCAACGGTAAGCCATACACTTTCACTCATTTGTGTCAAGGCTATACCGAATCACCCACAATCTACAATGATGCGCTCAGAGAAAGCTTGGAGAGCGTAACGCTCTCTCCCGGCTCTGCACTTCTGCAGTATGTTGACGACTGTTTGATTGCAGCTCCAAATCAGGCACAGTGTCAGACAGACACGCTTAAACTATTCAAACATTTAGCGAAGGAAGGCCAAAAGGCCAGCTTCTCTAAATTACAATTTGTGTCTCGAAATGTGCGTTTCCTAGGTCATGACATATCTGGAGAAGGAAAAACCCTCTCCCGAAAAAGAATCGCCGCGATCGTATCAATACCGAAACCCAACACCAAAAAACAGATGATGTCCTTTTTGGGCATGTGCTCATACTGTCGATCATTTATTCCAAACTACTCACAAATGGAACATCCGTTATCAAACTTAATCCATGGGAAAAATCTTACAGCGCACAACAAAATAATCTGGACTGAAGAGGGTCTTGCAGCCTTCACACAAATTAAATGTGCTTTGCAAACTCCTCCGACTCTTGGACTGCCGAATCCGAATAAGCCATTTACTCAAACAGTAGATGAAAGACTGGGCTGCCTGACTTCTGTGCTGCTACAACCCCATGGTGATAAACTCCGCCCGGTGGCGTATTTCTCCGCAAAACTCGACCCTGTCGCTGCAGGACTGCCACAATGTTTGCGTGCTGTGGCCGCGGCACTCACAGCCTCACGTGACATAGTGGGTTACGCACCACTCACTCTGCTCGTTCCGCACACGGTTTCTTTGATTCTCCTCGAACAGAAATCATCTCACCTCTCTGCGGACAAATCGGACGGTAAGCCCATCCTACACCACACTCTCATTGCTGAACTGTTGGAATCCATCTTACTACCCACAGCTATTGCTGTCTGTAAATGTGCAGCACACACGTCCAATACGGATGATGTATCACAGGGAAATGCTCGAGCAGACTTGGCTGCAAAAGCTGCTGCTCTGCTTCCGCTTCCCACTACCTGTGCTCTCATGTGCTCTGAGAAGTTAGTTCCCTCCTCTCTTACAGCGATGCAGTTACTCTCTACCCCTGATGAAAGACGGCTTTGGTCCACATCTGGCTGTGTTTACACCAACGGTTTCTGGACTGGACCCGACGGCAAGCCGTGTTTACCTAAACACTATTTTGCTCATTATGCTAAGTTGACTCATGGGTTAGACCATGTGTCAAAAGGGGGAATGTTACCTGCACTTAATGAGACGTGGTTTACAAAAGGGTTCACAGCATATGCACAAAAATTTTGTTCTGGATGTGTCACCTGTTCTACTCACAATGTAGGCAGGCCCGTGGGCGTGTCCAGCCAGGCTGCACACCCACCACCAACCCGCCCGTTTGAGCACATTATGATGGATTTTGTGGAGTTGTCTCCATCTGAAGGTAAGAAACACTGTCTAGTGATGGCAGACATGTTTTCCAAGTGGGTTGAGGTTTTTCCATCAAGCAAACAAACCTCTGCAACAGCAGCCAAGGCCCTAATTTCTGAAATCATCCCTCGATGGGGCATTCCTTCTAAAATATTAACCATAGACAATGGTTCTCATTTTGTCAACCAGGCCATTACAGAATTAAGCGCATACCTGGGTATTGATTTAAAAACACACTGCGCGTACCATCCAGCCAGTGGAGGGGCTGTGGAACGAGAAAATGGCACACTCAAAACCAAATTGGCAAAATGCTGTGCAGACAAAGGTCTGCCCTGGACAAAAGCCCTGCCTCTAGTGTTGATGTACATGCGCATGAGAAAACGAACATGAAGCAACCTGAGTCCCTTCGAGATATTGTTTGGTTTTCCTCCTCACGTAGTAACCGAGGCACCGACGGCACCACTCCCTTCAACCGCATTATGCGAACATGAAATGTTAACATATTGTGCACAACTCTCTTCTGCTCTGTCTAACATACGACAACAGGTTGCAGCCGCCCTCCCAAAACCAGCTGAAGGCCCACTCCACAAACTGAAACCTGGTGACTTTGTGGTGGTGAAAGACTTCAGGAGAAAAAACTGGAAAGCACGATGCTGGCAGGGACCATTCCAGATCCTCCTTGTCACCCAAACAGCTGTCAAAGTAGCTGAAAGGGCAACTTGGGTCCACGCGTCCCATTGCAAGAAGGTTCCAGATCCAGTACCAGCAGTGGGCTCAGGCGACCCTACCCCCACAACAAGTGTCAATCAACCGACACCACCGATCCAGTGACCACGGACGGGTTCACAACGGGCAGTTGACCGACAGACACACAGTGCATTGTGATCTGTGTTGACTGTATACAACGCGGATGCCTCACAAGAAAGAAGGTTGGCAGACTCCACATCCCAACGTGTACCTGTGGATCAACACAAGAAGAAGAACACGGCCAGGACCCCTCCACATAGACACAGTAGTCGTTTGTGTTGCTACGGTTTTATTCATATTATTGCTTGCTTCAGTTTCATTGTATCTCAGCATCTTTTTGTGATTTTGTAATCAGCTATCTAAAGATTGGTTCTCCCTTATCATGGAGCGACAACGCCCATGGAGCCACCTTAGACGACTGGGGGGAACTCATGTAACCATGTGTACCATGTATTTGCAAGTGTCACTTTGTTTGTGTTAATTCCATATTTTGTCCTCCACCAGAAACATGTTGTCGCGTTGGTCACGACTTACGTGACCAACGCGACAACAAGACTCACTTTAACTCGACCGTTCGCAACCGCACCTAGCGAGCACTGACCCGCCTAGACAACTGGCTCGACAATGGGATAAACCCATTGAACAAATATTCTGCAAATATGTGGTGGCGCTATGCTCAACACGTAGCAAAAAAGAAAATGCTTCCGACTGTTACGTATGTTCTTTGCTACCCATCAGCTCTAATCAACCACAGTTAACTGTAGCACCCCTGGGGAAGTCTGAAGGTTGTTTCTGCGGGCTCTCAAGTGGTGGGTGGTATCAGCCCGACAAAAACGTGTTCGTATTCGACAGCAACAGAACTTCTTGGTATTACGACAGATCTCCATGGGAGGAGGTAAATAGTTCAGTCTGTTCACAACATCACGATATCAAACAGTACTCGGCTAACCAAACGGCTCCATTCACCCTCCGAGCTCAGGAAGGCCCAACACGTTTTCCCTTCTGCTATGCTCGGAATGGAACTCATTCGGTGGGAAAAACAGACCTTGCTAAGTGTGACACGATCCTCAATGGGGGATTCTCCACGGATGATTCAAATTGCAATAATGACAAATTTCCACCTTTCCGAAATGACTGCGCCAAAAGCAATAATGTAAGCTTTTGCCAAGCCAAGGCCGCTGCAGAGAGGGCTGCAAATGTGCCCGTTCATCTCCAAAAATGGTCATGTTCCGGCTGGGGTTTTTCTGCATTACATCCGCAAGATTGTCCACTAAACAAGCCTTGAACACACTCACTTTAGCCATAGACGCTGCCAGCTTCATGTCCAGGTCCAGCTCCTCATTCCTCTTCTTCAATAGTTCCTGCTGTTCTTCCAGGGCATGTTTCTGACTCAGCATTCTTTGACAAGCCATGAGATCAGCGGTCTCAGCCTCAGCCCTTAATCTGGCTGATGAAGTAGTGGACATAGATTTACTTATTACTGTACTGCGTCTCTTTGACTTCACTGATACATTAGAAACACTGTCAATCGGTCTAATGTCATCTACTGCAATTTCCACAATACATGCCTCATCATTGGGAACAGATCCTAAACATGGTGCGACAACACACTCTTCTGGTGTGTCTGGCACCTCAAGCAGCCATTTATTTGTCTCCTCTACAAAAGCAATTGTATGCTCTTCAATACTGACAAACCAAGCATTTTGTTTTTCTTGTTCTTCAGGTGGGAGCGTAGGAACCACAACACCATGAAGATGACTTGCTTTTTTAAACAAGCTTCTCTTACTGCACTTTTAATCTTTCTTATTTTTACTTGGTGTTCTTCTTGGAGCTTTTCCAATTTATACTCAAAAGCTTTGGGCGTAAGTGTTATTTGTCTTTTCTCAACTTGGCTGGTATTATTCAACTCCATTTTTCATTTACAAAAGAAAATCCAATAAATCATAAAAATATTTGCAAATGACACTGAAACACTGCACTCTTTTGTAATTTGTATTTCCACATGAAAATAGTACAGTGCATTGTTTTGATTCCCCCTAACTTCCACCGAGGCTAAGCTAAACTCGACTCTAGTCTTCTGTGCGTACTAGCGGTGGGTATTTATGTACCTAAATACCGATAGTCTTGTTAGGGTTTCAGAAAGCTCTCGAGGGCGGCCTCACTCCTTTGTTCTTGTCCCGGCCGGAAACGAAGAATCAAAAGAGTCAGCTTGCTTAAATTCAAAAATCAAAAAGTATTTAATAACTAAACAACGTTATAAGGAATACAATTACAAAGTGAAATACAAAGCGAACAGTAAAATATTTCGCGAAATAGAGAATCCTCTGAGCAAGTCTAAAGTGACTTATCAAAGCGGCTGCAGGAAACAGTCCTTTCCCCGCTTTGGTCCTTTGAAAACTCTTCAGGTGTGTCTTCTTGGGTGCATTTGAATGTCATTGGCTTCTCCTTCAAAGTGTCTCCTCCTGGATTGTCCCCTTCACATCGAGGTGTGAAGCTGCAGCTGTAACCTGAACCTCTCTGTACTCTCTGTCCCTCACATTCCAATGCATTCAATGTAGATACAGTTGGCTTTATGCCTCAATGAGTGAATATAACAAAGCATGCATAGTTTGTCTTCATCTTATAACTAGTACACCTTCATTACAACACATCATTAATGATCACCGTTCATGACACTTCATCATAAGATCTAAGACAGTTCATGTGGTCCAATTCTCAAGACATTTGCCTCAGTCGGCTGCCTTACATTAAGTTGTTCATTTACTACCGACAGGAGAAAAAACTCCCAAAAAACCCTCTGGGGATAAAATTGGGAGAAATCCATAAAGGACGGAAATTAGCATCCGTCCCCAGGTTTTAACATCACATTGTGACAGAATGTTAATGTGACAGTTAATGTCTAACATCACAAACTACAATTCTAGCACTAAACATAATTACACGTATTATAATTCCATGACTAGGGGTGCACTTCTGGCTTAAATCCCTAACAGTCTCGAACCAGACTAACCGTCTTAGAACCAGAACTACGGCGGCACTCCCAAGCGCAATGCTTCAGCCGCTTGACGCACGAACAAAAACACTACAAAAGGTCCCAAAACAAACAAACAAGTACAATCACCTTATGCGAAAGTACCACTAAGCCTAGCAGGGAATACAATCAGTCTTTGACAAACAATGCACAATGTTTATAAACGTGTACCTTTCATTCGAAGCGCTGTGATTACAAAAGGCATAGTAACAGCAAATTTGTGAATGAATGGGCGTAACGCGAGTCGAATGAGCGTTCACGTCTATCGTTTACAACTTTGAAAGCGATCTCAAACATCCAGTGTTATCGCGACAATACATTTTCGCGCTTCCGCAAACTTTCTTTTGACAAATTATAGCGGCTTATACACAACAAAAACTATCCAAAAGCCGCTTGGAGGGTAAGACATGACATTATACTCAAGACGCGTCGTATTTCATCTGATGTTTATTACTCCGTTTCACCAGCAGAAAGAATACACGCCAATCACTTACATTGATAGATGCCTTTTATCAGTCAAGAGAGGATCAACAGCGCATAAAACTTCGTAGTGACGTTAGTGACAATAATTACTCCAGTGACGTTGACGACGACGACGACGGTCAAAAGAAAGTTTGTTCCCCATGCTCACCCTGCAGCCATGCTCCAAACAACCCGCCGAGCCCCACAGGTCAACAGACACACGCTAATATACACACCACACCCCCTTACGGTGTTGTAGATACAAATAACGTCACACCACACGCGCACACACAAACAATTTAGAAGGAAAGAAGAAATAATACAAAAGAATAATCAAACGCAATGTATGGCTCCTACACCGACCCTACTTAATAAACAGTTAAACGCGTGCCTCGTCTAGTTATTGAGTACACCACAAATACGTTAAATTTATTTCAGACCATAAATACTAAAAACAAACTGTCAAGCAGCCCAGTATTCATGTGCTAGTAGTAGCAAACCAGTCCATTTCTTTCCACCGACAATGAACAGAAACATGACAGAAACCGTTGCCCTTATGGGTTAAAACCCTTGATTGAGCCTAGAACCCAAGTGCAGCGTCACTAATGTCTGCACAGACAATAACATAAAATGTTTGGCTCTTAAAACAACTTTAAAAGCAAAACAAATAGGCTGGCGCACCGGTCACCTTCTCGCAGTTACCCCAAAGGCCCACGTCATCCCCAAGGTACAATTTACAAAAGAGTAATGATGAGCTATAGAGTGAAAGGTTGAACCATTGTACACTTAAATCATAGGAATCATACCAAACTGACTCCAGATTAGCACTACACACATGGACATGGGACACGCCCACATGCACATAACGCTCTCAGTCTCCCGCTGAGCGGCAGGCAGACAGGGAGGAAGGGAGAAAAGGGAAGAGAAAGCCAAGAGAAAGACAAAGCAACAGGTTAGTTTGTCTGTCAGTGAATTGGTCTACACGTTCACAGATCTATATTTTATTCATGATAATATACTGTATCTAATTACACAAGGCCATTTTAGGACCTAGGTGAAAAAACTGCTTTTAATGCTGGCATACTAAACATTTGGTGTTACTTTGTATATATTACAATACATTTGGCAATGATAGCAATGCTGTTGGACTTTTAAAGCAGTGTATATGGTTTGGCAGGGGCATATTTTGAGTTCTGATATTGGGCTGGTTTTGTCACACAGACCTGGCAACCCTGAGTATCAGTTATCTCAAAAATAAGAAAGAAAGGAGCCACGCGTCCAACTATGTCCCAGTTGTTTTCGCCGAATGGCGTTTGTGCCAAATGTCCTCTGCTGCCAGCGTGCGCCAAGCTGCTGCGCTCCAGCAGGAGCGCCTTCGCCCGCCAGCAAACACCACTGCATGAAAAGTGAGATTTTGGTCCCCGTAAACGCCCGGAAATCTCCCTAATTTCCGTCAATTTCCGACAATTTGCAACCCGCGCACGTCGCGTTTGTCTGTGCCACAAATTGTCGGAAACGAACCATGACGTAGGTGGAGAGCTGGCGGAGGTGCGAATGGCCCGAATTAGCATATGAATGCAGCGAAACCGCGGGTGGCCGAGCCGAGCGGGCTTGAATATCCTTACTCCTTATTGGAGGAAACCACAACTTACTAACAAATAAAATCACTCGTGATTGGCAGCAAAACCACACGTGGGCAGACCAGGCTTGAGTTTCCTTGTTCATGATTGGATGAAACCACAACTTTCAATCACTCGTGATTGGTTGGCAGATCTGTCGCTATTGGTCACCCGCCTCATTTTATTTATATATTCATATTATGATGTATATTCATTTCATGGTTATCCCATGTAGGCTACTACACTATTATTAGGATACCAACCAGGACATCAATGAATTTATAGAGAAAATGAACATTTGTCACATGTTTATGCAAAGAAAGAGCTTTATTAACAACACACAAACAACAACTACATACAAAGTGAGGATCTGCCCACACTTGGGTAACGGCGGTTTAAAAACTACAGCTCAGTAAACTGTCCGTTTGCCTCCTCGGGGTTGTTGACCGTCACTGGCGCCGTGTTTTCCGAGGCAGGTCTGTTGTGCAGGCGCCTCGTGTGTGCGTGGTGACCGTACAATCCACCCCGAGACCCCGCCAACAACGCCGTCCCCTCCGCCCGACGTGAGCTCCACGGTGGCGGATTTCCAGAGTTTCACCTCGTCATCAGCCAGCACACTTTGTCTCGATTCCAGCAGCTGTAAAGACAACAATGAATCAGTACTGTGCGATGCGTACGGACACAACACATCTATCAATGCACCTGAAACAAGTCAGCAAATAAACTCTGACCCTCTTTCTTCTCGCTCGACTCCGCGCTGAATCCTTCGCAGCTTCCGCTCGCAATGAGTGTTCCGCCTGAACCTGAAGCTCCTGCGTCCCGTCTCAAAATACGTCTCACAGGCGGCTGGAAAACAATTAAATGAGTGGTATGAATACAAAAAGAAAATCAAACGCAAGTCACAGTAACATTTAACAAGGAAGGAGAAACAGTGTCACTTACACACAATGACGTCGTCTAAATCTGGACTTTTCCCGGAGCAAATACGAGGTCACCGCCTCATTATGAGGCGAGATTAGTCTGTGAAAACAAAATGTACAGTTATGATCGGTATCCATCCTATGGTATCTATACGTATATATTCCTTTATACCGCAGAATGAAAGCATATTCTTTAAATCTTACCCTTGCTCCGGTTCGTAGCCTGTAGTTCGTCTCGGACTTGTGAAGACGGCGCACCGCTTCCTGTAAACGACACGGCAAAGAAAACACACTTTAATAAAGCTGTTTCTGCTCACTTGTAAGGCTACTAGGCTACTCTTAGCTTAGCTTGAGGCTACGCTACTCTTAGCTTAGCTTGCAGTCATCGAACGTATTCTTACCGCTATCGTGGGATTGTGCGCCCGTCTCCTCTTCTTTGAGTCGGTTCCTCTCCTCCGTGGACAGAAACCCGCAGAGTCCCGAACGCTCCAGTGGAGCGAACCGCTCGTTGATATCGGCAGTTTGTTGTTGGAGTTGATGAGACGATCCACTGAGATCATTCAGCAGCTTCTTCTCGTCTGTCTGCGGACTGGCCGAAAGTTGGTGACCGCGGAGAGGAGTTGAAGGCGAGTTGAAGGCGAGACGTCGTCCCGCCATTATTCACGAAGCAGCAAAAACCAAACAAAGGAACTGGAGATACAGTTCTTCTGAATATAGTAACACACGTGTCTGTTTGTATGCTCGTCTTGCAAGTACTGCTGTATCAGTCATGCCTATGACCTCACACGTGATTGGACGAGGAGTCTAAGGGTCCTCCAATCACATACAAGGTTATTGTTATACGGAAGGACCAGCATTTTAGGAAGACAAATGGTTGGGACTTTGAAACAGCTGATATGCTTTATGTAAAGCAGTGTTTTGGTGTCAGCAGAACGACTTTCCCTAGAAAACTGCACAGTGGTGCCTCTTTCTCCATTCCACCAGACACTCTTGAGTCTGACAGACATGCAATGTTGACAATGTATCATCACATGTACCCTTGTGTCACTGAGGTTGAATGTTTTGCCATGACATGTAAACGGGTAACATATATGAATGTAACTTACTCAATCGATAGATGCAGAGCAGAAAGGTCAGCATATGTTTATGCTAAGTGGTGTGGAAACACTAACAGTTTTGAGGAACCCGTCCTTGACCCTCTAGCAGAACTACGACCAGCCATTATAAAGCAGTTTATAGTTGTTAATGTTGGGTCAAAGGGTACGGCATTTAAACATGTTCTTGCACAAGTTTCCTGGCTTCATCTCCACCCGGACAGACATTTTTATGGAAAGCCAATAGAAGTTTGGGGCTTGCAGGGAACAGACACGTCGTACCCAGCATCATTTCTGCCAGTTGAGCGCATTGCTAGAAGATGTGTGGGTAATACATCCTCTGTGCATTTAAGAAGACCAAAGAAAAGGTCACTGTAGTCCTGCCATTATGCACTGTAGTTGAGCTCTAGGAGACTGTGATCTCTGCAGACCCCTCATGCTGATTCAAATGTTGTTTGCATGGAATGCTCATTTTACCCTGATTAAAACTCATCTTTTAAAGAAGTTATTTTGTGTATCTTTTTTTACATAACATTTGCCATTGCTAATGGCATACACAGTAATCTAGCATATTTGAATTAAATAAATCAATTCAAGCTAAAATGTAAGAATCTATAATTAGGCTACGGAGCCTGATCTATTTGTACCAGAGATTTTCTTACCTTTTAAAAAAATGTCACCTGGGCTAAAACTCCCTCTGCGACGCTGATTTGCATTTGTATAGCTCACAGCATTTTCATTTACATGTCAAAGCCTCCCCTAGAGTTAGGAGGAAGGGAGTCATGGGGGGACAACTGCCAAGGGAGGCCCACGTCAATTTCTGACAATTTACGTCAGTTTTCGGCGTTGCCCGCAAATTGCCGTAAACCTGAAATTCCACGACAATTTACAGTGCCGCATACAGCCGAAAATCCCACTTTTCATGCAGTGCACGCCGCGTCGGGGGGTCAAACACAACGTTCTCTAAACACGCGTCAAAGTCCACGGTGTGGATACACGGGGTGGCGGCGGGCATCGCTTTGGCCGTGGGGCTGAAATACCGAAAGGACGCGGCCGGCGGCTCCCGTTGCGACGCACGCATGCAGGAGCGAGCGATATGGCGACGCCATAGAAGTGAGCAAGGAGCTTGTGGAGAGGATAAGGGAAAGCAAACAGGTCGGCCCCGCGTGCTGCTTCCTCACATTTGCAGCTGCTGCACGACTCTACGAGGAGCGGAAGCTAGAGCTCGATGTCCCCGTCTAGAAATACGTCCCTGAGTTCCCCCAGAAACGCTTTAACGGACAGGACGTAAGCCACTCGAGCAGCACGGGCCGGAGGTTTTCTTTTGACCGGGAATATTTTGGCTCACGCGCGCGTCATTCGTTGCAGGTCACGATAACCCCTCGCATGCTTCTGTCCCACCTGAGTGGTATACGGCATTATGAGAAGGACGCAACGAAAGTGATGGAGAGCGGGCAGAAGGCCAAGCGGCTCCTGAAGCCGCTAAAGGAAGAAGATGAAAAGAGTTCCTCTGCAACGGAACCAAACACCAAAGGCAAAGAAGCCACTCGGGAGAAGAAAAAGGAGTTTGAGCACGAGGAATAATACTTGAAGGACAACTTTGAAAGTGTCACGGAGGCCCTGGACCTCTTCAAGGACAACCCGCTCATTTTCAAACCCGGTAAAGCACATTACTCGCTTGCCAAATCATTCAGATGGGGTTCAATGTCTTGATGAACTTGAATTTTCTTCTTCTTATGTGCAGGCACCACTTTCCTGTACTCCACCCACGCCTTAACCCTGCTGAGTGCTGCCGTAGAGCGAGCCGCTGGGCAGAACTTCCTGGACGTCATGATGACCATGTTCCGCGAGTTGGGAATGCTCACGGTAAAATGAGTGACTAATGTCGAGTGTCACAAACGAGATGTGTCGACATGTTCCATCTTTCCTCGGAAAGACGTCGGATTTGTTTTCACAACGTGAAATGAGACGATTCCCACGCCTGCTGCTCCTCCTCCACAGATTCTATCGGCTCAACAAGAGTGGGGGCGTCGTCAACTGCCCGTACGTCGACAACTCCTACAAGTGGGTGGGAGGCGGCTTCCTCTCCACGGTTGGCGACTTGCTGCTGTTCGGTAACGCGCTGCTCTACAGCTACCAGCTGGCCCACCTGGAGGACGCCGGGGGCTTCCTCCCCGGCTTCCTCGCGCCCCAAACGGCGGTGGACCTTTGGTCGCCGGTTGACAGGACGGAGGCGAGCTGGGACAGCGACGGACGTTACGCCCAAGGGTGGCTGGTGGTGGAGAAGCTGCAGAGGTACGGGCAGTGCAGGAAGCGGAGGCACTACGTGTCGCACACGGGAGGCGCTGTGGGGGCCAGCAGCGTCCTCTTGGTGTTGCCCGGCGAGGAGGCCGAAGGACGGGACCCCCGCGTCCCCCGGGGAGTGGTCGTCACCATCATCACCAACATGCAGTCGGTTGGACTTAACAGCACAACGCTGAAAATTGCACACGAGTTTGACGCTGCCAGGAGCTTGTTGGTGTGAGTCGACCTGGACGACGTGAACGTTAGATCTAGATGTTTGTCATGTGAACTCCACTCGCTTCCCGTTGCAACACTGACACGCAGACACCAGGTGGAAGCAAGATGCTGTAAATCAACACAAGCCACTGATTCATGGCATTAGTTCATTGTTTCATTCCGTACATTTCACATACGATGGAAAGAAGTTGTGTTTTTTTAAAGCTGCACAATAAACCTTTTTAAAGGTCTCTACACCTCATGAAGTGACTTTTTGGGTCGTAGCAACATGACGTGCTTTGGAAAAGCCCCTCTGTGATGAACCAGTACTGTAGTATCCACTGCTGAGCCCACTTCATGCCTCAACGATTTTGATCCAACCGTAGATTGTTGGTTGGTAATTCACATTTAGTTTACACATTGGTGGGGGCACGTGTTCCAAAAGGAAGAGACCCACAAACCTCGGCTATGCAGTCCAACGGGTTTAACTACCCCTCCTCCTCGCTGCATCAAAGCAGATTTGATGTATCCATTTTCATCAGGAATCTGCTGGGATCTCCTGTTTTTAGATTAATCAGGCTGGTGATATAATATATATATATATATATATACATACAGACACACAGAGTGAAGTCATCCTGTCCATTCGTGGCTGCTTCATGTGGTTTTGGCTTAAGATACAATTTAGGATACGATGAAGAATAGAATAAAGAATAAAGAATAAAGTGATCATGACTAGAGGAAGGACAGTGACCTGTGTGTGTGTGTGTGTGTGTGTGTGTGTGTGTGTGTGTGTGTGTGTGTGTGTGTGTGTGTGTGTGTCACCGTCACCAGAAAATCAGTCAGTGGGGTTCGTTGGATATATTATCACAAACCTTATTAAATATTTAATAGGATATTGAGCATATTCATCAATTGACACAAGGATTATTTCATAACTCAATATTGAGAATAATATTTCCGATATTACAACCATGCTTCGTACATATCAGCTAAAGCACAGATTGAAATGTGATGTGAGTGACACCAGTTCCATCTTTTTAAACCAAAGGTTGTGGACTCAAAAAAATCTCATGAGGTGTTCGTCGGCTCTTGACTTGACAGGATAAACTTGGTATTTTTCAACCGTGACCCTGTTTTTCCCATGTTTTTGTGTCTCAGCGACTAATGGGGACAACGTTATGTACAACTGATCCAGTATTGAGCAACAACGCTGCAAACGGCAGCTGCCAAACATGCTGTGATGGGATCGTTCTGGGCAACTGCTCACTGTCTTAGTGTGAGTAGAGTTTATGTTTGAGTCCATCTGAGAACAGAAAGCTCGGCTTAGTGTTATTAAAACGGTTTCTTATTCTTAGCTTAGTTTCCACACTGATTTTGGTTTTCTCAATGACACACAAGAATTACACGCACAATAACAAAAAGAGAGTTCGTTCTCTGCAGTGGAAATAATAACTTTTAGTGGTCGTTAATTGAGTGCGAGGAGTTGCCCCTTACGTTACAGCTGTTTAGTGGCTGCTGTCTGCAGCCATAACTCCGCGAAAAGAGAAACGCATGTAAATCAGAAGATCATACTCTGGGTTTTACTCTCCAGTACGCTGTCGGATTGTTCTGTTGGCTCTGTTGTCTGGTTTTCAACACCCTACGTGGGAACAAAAGAAATGCTTATTGTTTTATTTCCATGTGTACATTCTGCCTGAGTAGAACAATACCAGCATAGTATAATGCGTAAAACACTTCCACATAATGTCATTTTTAGACACTTTTAGTGGTAATCCTCAATCCTTAATGTATTTACCTGCGCATGAAGTAGATGACGACTGCCAGCAACGCTAAGATTAGGAGAGCAACGATGACCAGGGCTGCAATCAACCCTGCTTCTGTTGCGTTGCTGGTGGCGCTGAAGAGTTGGAACTGCTCACACCGGCTGCCTTTGTAACTTTCATTGCATCTGGTTTAAGAACCGAGGAAAACTGCCATGAATATAACATCTTGTGACATCGACAGATATTCCAAAATATATTCCAAAATACCAAGGAAAATCGAGAATATGGTTTTTAAATGTTTTTTCTTTTACTCACACGCAAGAGAGCGTGTCCATGGAGAGTATTTTATAGCACGTCCCTCCGTTCAAGCAGTACGTGGCTTCCTGCCCGTCGCACTGGTCTCCATGGTCTACATACATAACAATTTCAGGAATTTGAAAATGGCTGAATAATCACTTCTTAAAAAGGATTTGTTATTTTTAGTGTTTTTTTTTTTAATTACCTGCCATCATTTGGAATGTGGTTCTCTTGCTGTTTTCTGCAAACATGTAAGAAACGTTTGCGAAATCCCAGCTTTCGGTCGTAGGAGCAGGTTCCGTGGGCGAGTCGCAGTACCTTGGAACTGCCTTTTGTTTTACCTGAAGACGCTTTCGCGTGGGTGTGTTACTCCCTTTGCTCAAAGAAATGTTGTGATTGCAGTTTGTCCACATTGTGAATGACAAGCTCCACGTCAGGATACCTGGTAGTAAGTTATTCATTATCGTGGGCTGAAAGGTGACATTTAAAAACAGCAGCACCGCTTTAGACAACGTTGACATCTGACGTCAGACTACAACACAGCGTGTTATATTTAGCTTTTGTTCTTGTGGGTTTGGATTGCAGCGGGTGACGAATGAGCAAATCACCTGTTGTGCATGTGAACGCAGCGTGTTTGGAATCTGTGAGAAAAAAAAGAAAAACTGAATGACTGGTATTCAAAGGAAGCATGAATGGCTTCGTGGGAAGTTTTTCATTATAAATACTACGTTCAGACCGATAATCAATGTTGTACGTGTCAGCCCTGTGAGGCGGGGGACTTAAAATCTAATAAAAATAAGATACATTTATAAAAAAGGTACCAGCAACGCCACCTAGTTGCGGAATCTAGGTCTCCATAAAAACAGGTTCTTGTTCACCAGAGAACAGCATGGATCACAAGACTTAAAAGCGTGGTTTAAAAGGAGGATTTTATTATTAACTAAAACCCATAAATAACTACAATTGTATTAAAAGTCCAGCTGGAACAAAGTACTAAAAAAAGATTAAGAATTTGACCAGCCACTGCTGCTGATCCGTCCTGCCCTTTCTTCTCGTTTCCGGTTCCGTTCCGTTCCTTTCCTGCGTGAGGTGTCCAGTCCGTCTCGTTCCTCTCCTCGTTTGCACCCTGCCTGCTCGTCCGCTGTCTTGCCGTCCTCTCGCTTGATTTCCCGTGGCTTCTCCTGCCCGTGGCTTCCCCTTCCTGTGGCTTACCCTTCCTGTGGTTTCCGCTTTCATGCCGTGCTTAGTGTCCTTTATAGCAGCTGTGTTAATTGGAGAGGGGAGGTCCTTTCATTGTGTAATGTGGTTGGCCAGGGCTCTCTGTAATTGATTAGTCCCTCCAGGTGCATGTAGTTTACTGAAAGGTGGGTTAATATGTAAAATGTAATAAAACAAACCATGCAAAAATGTAATAAAACAAACCACGCTAAAATATAAAACCAAACCATGCTAAAATATAATAAACCAATAATTTACAGAAACCACAATGTCCCCCTGGTGACATACGTTGTTAGTTGTTCACTGTGTTCCGGTGGTGGATAAACAATTCAAATGATTAACCTAAGTTAAAGTAATACTGCAGTATGGGAATACTAAATTCTTTTAGTATAACCTAAAATCACAAATTTCCATGCTGCTTTTCAATCATTTTTGAGATCCTCAGCAGAGGAAAAACAATATATTGTACTTTAGTAGAATAGCCATGATATCAGAAGCAGTAATATTGTCAGCAATAGATTGAAGGCAGGTACAAGCACGGCCCAGATAACAATGATATCTCCTGCTGGGAGAGAAATCACAATGACTCCAGAAGCAAAGTCACTGATGTGCGTTTGTTAACAATACTGTTAGTAAGAGAGAGTCAGCAGGGCCACAGCAGTTTACCAAAAGGAAAGAATACAAGATTTATACCGCAGAAGATTACTCCACTTTAAACTAGTATTGAATCATTATTTAAATAGTAACACTGAATCTTAGTTTTACTGATATTGTCTTTGTTCCAGGAGGACTTCTTTTTAACTACTTTATATTTGGTAGTTTAATCCGTCACATCCGACCACATTTTAACTGACCTTTATTTTGATTGTTCATTTGATGGGAAGGGACGTGTGTGTATTTACCGTATCACTGAAAAATATACATTATTTTGTATGAATCTGTATCTATGCATTCAAATACAGCAGACTTGGTCATGAACACACCACTGAGGTCACTGCAGTGTGGGTTTTTTCCTTCGTGTTATCGCGAGGAATTCTAAATCTGAAGAGACGAAGTGAAGCGAGATTTTTTTTTTTTTACGTCGACGCTGATGAGCCGACACAGAAAGCGGAGACGTCTGCAGGCTCTTTTGCGGCTCATTTGGAATCTACACCGCTCAAATACGCAATGTCACATCACCGCGTGTGTGGGTCAAACCCGGTTAGCTGCGCGCTGACGGCGCTGCCCATTGCACATCTGGAATCCCTCCTTTCTTTCAGCACCTGGACAGCTCCCCGCTAGTCAACCTCTGCCCGCTGTTTTTATTTTCATCATCACCATCATCATCATCATCATCATCATCATCATCATCAGCACGTACGAGGTTAGTGGGTCTTTGTGTGTGTGTGTGTGTGTGTGTGTGTGTGTGTGTGTGTGTGTGTGTGTGTGTGTGTGTGTGTGTGTGTGTGTGTGTGTGTGTGTGTGTGTTGATTTCGCGCTGGGTAGTTGAATCGTTTGCGTTGGTTCAGGAATGAGACCGTGCACCATGTACCAGTAAGATGTACCAGCACCATTAACTGTTAATGTAGCTACGACGGTGGGAAATGAATTCAAATACATGTTGACGGGGTGAAAAGCAGAAAGCGTGCACAGACATGGCCCCCAGTGCCTCCTTTATTTTGTTGTTGTTGTTGTTAAATGGAATAGTAGAAATTTCCACCTCTGCTGATCAATCACTTTCTGTAAACTGTCATAAGTAGCAGCTCAAGACAATGATTGTGAAGATCAATCTCTTATTTGTTTACTCATGTCCAGCGATACTTTGCATTAAACAACTTGCCCTGCACCTTGTTAAGTGATGGCTGTGTGACTGTTATCTGTTGGCACCGCTTTTTCCTGATTATTATAATGCAAAAAATCATGTTTTTGGGTTCTGCTGTGAAGCGGCGTCACACTCAGCCCTGGAATGACCCAAGCTGATTTATCCTGAGTAGCAGTTGATCTGCTGTGCTTCACTACGTTACTCTGCTGTGGTCTGCTGCGGCCTAGAATGCTGACTGAGCCCGTTTTCTTTCTCGTGGACATGATGTCGTAAGCAACAGCCATATGTTTGAGATCGGCATGTCTGTTCCCTGCAAAGCAGCTGGAGAGGGCTTCCACTGGACAAACTTGGACATCAACGGCTCTCTATCCCTTGGCACAAGGGGCTCGCATCCCGCCATACCCCGCCATACTTGCTATGCAAGAGGTGTGATGTTCCTCAGTCCCCAATTCACGGAGCAGAGCGTATATTGGAGGGGATTTAAAATCCATTATGGTTTAGTGCTCCCCAGGAAAATAGTTGAACAGAACATAGCTACAGCTGGCGTTAGGACAGTTCGCCTTCGGGAACACCCTAAGCAGCATACGCATTGCCACTTCACTGATCATTTTGCATGCATTTGTGTTCTACACAAATATATTATATAAGCTACCAATCACATCTCCCAATTCTCTTATAGAGTTTTCCTGTGATCTGCTGAATGATATCTTATGTTCGTAGCAATCCCGCTGTTCTTTTATATTTTCTATAGGGGTGGTATGAGCCAGGTCTCTGCAGTGGTGAACTTGCATTTCACACTCTGGGACATTTCGTGTAATTTGGTGCAACACATCTGTAAACACATAATATAGAGAATGCATTGAATAGTTGGTAACAAAGTCATTATTTAATGCTGCTGGAATCCTGTGACAGATGGGAAACGCTCATGCAGAGAACGGTCTTTGTAGTTATTTTCACCCCTGCTCTCTTGACTTGATGCTGCTGTAAATCCCCCTTTTCTCTCTCTGCCGCTTCCTCTCTCCGAAGCCCTGTAGCATCTCTGATGTGGAAACAGTGGGAAGCGAGATGCGGAAATTTATGAGATGCTTAAAAAAAGCAGGAAAAAAAATGAAGGGATTTATCTTGCATTTTCCTGTGTATTTAAAAAAGTTTTATCATGTCTATGTCTGTCTGTAGTTTACATTTAAAATACGGTTCACAAAAAGATATGAGGTAATGTTCTTTCGGTTTCTTTCCATTATGTAGCTCTTTTAATTTTAAAACAACCTAACAAAAAGCACACCCCTTATATTTCAGGCCTTTCCTTCCCTGCCTGTTAATTGAGGTGATACGGAACAAAACGTCAGCCGAAGCATTTTCTCTATTAAAGAAACCTCCAAAGACCAACAAAACACATTCTTTATTGATGCATTGGAATTAGGAACTACTGTAATTTCCCCTAGGACATTGAAAGAGCAGGAATTGCCTAAAATATAATTTGTATTGGAAGCTTTTGTCTGGGTTTCTGCTTTTGGGAGATCTGGACAGTACCCATAGAAGTGATATAGCACGTTGTTTCTGCTTTCCTGATCATATCATCGTAGTGAATTGCTGTGCATCAAGCAGTAACTGGTATGCAGAACGTATTATACCTTTGACCTCTGCACTGAATCAGATTACTTTAACTGCTATTTGTTGTCCATCAACATAATACTATAATAGCCGTGCTGAATAGCTTATTCACTGCAAGTTAGTTTAATTACAGCGTCGCTAAGAACAATACCGTGTTAAATAAAACTAGATCAGCATTTAATAAACGGCTCATTTTCAAAGCATGTTTTATTAGTCTTTTGGGCTCCACGATGAGAAGTAGCTGTTATTCTGGACGGGTGCAAGATTTCCCCTCAAGACACGCATGCTCTACGCTGACCTTTCCGCCTCCTCTTAGTGTCGCTGCAGTCACATGCCCGCCCATCACATGCCAGCACGCCAGTGGCTGTCCTTGCTTGCATTGTTGAAGTGAGCATAGTGTTCAGGTGTGAAGCCTCCCCTCCGCCCCCACCATGGCACCCAGCCACCCCGCTGGGCTCCGCACAGAACAGCTTCTGGCCGCCTCTGCGATGGTCTGGAGATGTGATTTTGATGCACTGCACAGTTTGTGTTTGTCATGACGCATTAGCTTCCAAAGGTTGCCAAGTTCACAGATAACAGTGATGCGTGGGAATTTTGTGGAGGGCATGTAAATATATGACCGTTTGACCTAAATAACACGAGGTATTTGTGTTGCATCGCCCTTGTTGGGTTTGCGTGAGTGTAACAAAATAACTTTTCAAGATAGTCCTTTAAACCAGTAGTAGTCAAGAAATAAGTCAGGAAAATGTTCCTTTCCAGCCGTGCCTGAATCAACATTTAGCAGGAAGGTGGGTCTGCTCAGTGATCTTTACAAACCGTCCCCTCCCACTCCGCTTCACCTCCAGCGCAGAGTCGCTGAATTCACCGAGCCAACGGCCTCTGTTCCCTCTGCGTTGTAATCAATGCCTTCCTCCACTGTTATGCACTGGAGATATTGATGTCTTCACACCGGCTGCACTGGGACAGCTGCCAAGCCGTTTGAGACTCTTGTTCCAAGGTGACTTCTCTTTGTCGGCTATTGGCTGAGCTCGAACGGTCATAGTGCTCAGTTTATGTTTGAGGTTTCACAACCTCGATGGCAGATACAGTGAAAAACACGACAATACGGTAGGAAGTACATTGAATATATCAAAATGGACAAACAAAGCTTTTTCTTGCTGCGCTGTGCGCCCAGAGAGTTTGGGCTAGTTTTGCATATTTTGACTCATACTATATATTTTTTAATTGATGATTGATTTTCAGGCAGCCATTGGTTTCAATTAAATTCATAATTCCGTCAAGTAGAAACTTCGGTAAACCATCAATGAAAAGTCAGCCATGTTATTAACATTCAGGAATCACAAAATGTTTACAGAAATCCAAATGCTGTAGAATGAATGTTGTGACATTCGTGTCAGTTTAGATGTTGGAGGATCGTTTAGTAAACCTTTAGAGAGCCGGTAAAAAGGCAAAAATCCCCAAAATTGATCATTATAATATATCATTCTTCTCGGTCTGCCGTGATGAGGAGCAATCATTTAGTATTCACGGTTTGCTATTTAAGTTGATATATTAGTATTTCTATTTTTGTACAATACCAATTACCATATTTACTGTGGCTTGAGACTTCATCTTCTGCCATTAGAAATGTAAATCAGCTTCTTATTACTTGCCAGGTAATTGTGCCGTTGTTGAGGGTGCCAGTAAACACTGCAAACAAGGACTTTCACACCATGTTTGTGTTTTTATTCATCAACATTAAGCATAGTCCCAGTAGATATTGTCAAACTTCACTATGAAACAAACCACACTAACATACAACCTTGCACTTCACTGTCTTTGCTGAAGAAGTATACCGATTTAAAGGTGACACAAGTCCACGCTGATGCTGCTCTGGTTGTGGTCATGTGCGAATGTGTCTGTGTACCGCAGTGCTCCTCCCAATGCCGGAGCCTCGGAGCTGGAGGTGATCTCCATGCAGGTGGAGGAGGACAAGCAGTGCGCGGCCCCCGTCCAGCTGGTCAGCTTTGCCTACAGAGACTTGCCGCTGGCCGCCCTGGACGTTTCCCTCGCTGGATCCCAGCTCATCTCCAACCCAGACGAAGAGGACAACAGAGACGGGTACGTCCCAGAAATCCACTCTGTCGCTACTTGATGGTTTGAACACAGTCGGTAAAACCATCTAATTGTGAGGGGTTTTGTGTGTGGTCATTTAAAAAGTGTTTCAAAGCACATCAAACGATAAGAGTGAGCTTGAAATCATTTTACATCATAGTCCCGTCGTCGAGGATATTTGGCAATTCATTTATTTTTCTCACCGTGTTAAACGGACAAATGGCTTAATTGCCTGGTCCGGGCCGATATCTCCACGGGACACTGGGCAGAGCCAGATGGGTCCTTACCCAAACCCCCACTCTGTCCCGCAGCGGGCGGGATCTGGCATCCCAGCAAAAGCATACTTTCAGTGGTCACTTTCATACAGAACAACATGGTCAACCTGGAATTTGGAGGTTTTTATCAATTCACACAATACTGTGAATATTCTGTGTGAAAAGTAAGTCGACGTTCATTCTTATCACAGGAACGCCTCAGAGTCCCGGAATAGCCCAGGAGGCAGGCTAGTGAAAACAATGTGCTAACTGACACCCATTTAAATGCTGCAGCTCAATGAGCGTTTCAGATTGGAATTCACGATTTTCAGGTTACAAGCATTCCAAGACATTCCGCGACATTTCATCAAAGCGCCAAACAGACATGTGTCTGTTTGGAAGAGCTCTTGTAAAAGGCCACGCAGCCAGCTTGTCGCCACAGAATCGGGATGCCTTTGTGACTCATGTGTGTGGCATCAGAGGAATGACACAAAGGGCCTAATGGCGAGGCAATGAACTGGTTTACGTTGCGTCGGAATGCGTTGTCATAGAAACTCCTCTGCACACTGCCGACTAATTTGATCCCTTTTGTAAATGATTGTCCTCAAGAACCATTACCCACTTCGTTTTTCCCTCTGTGACTCTGTGCATTGATTTTGGTGAAGAGCAAGGTGTGTTTTATTAAGCCACAATAACGTTTGTGAGACGGTTTTTATATTCGGTTATTTGATTTTGTCAACGTCACTCCGGTGTTTGTAGACGTATAAGCAGGTGATCACTCATTTCAGTTTTATCATAAATATGATTTCCGTTTAAGTTTGTATTGAGCTTCTGGTCATTGCTTCGGGGAATGTTGAAAGGAGAAGTATGAAGCTTAAACTAAGCGCTGCAAACCAATGGTCATCGATGGGATAAGTAAGAGATTATAATGCAATCCTTTTTTTTTTCGACTGTGAGTCCTTGGTTCGATGTTTGTTCCATATGCTTATGCCAGAGGTGCGCATACAGTCTTGCATCCCAGCTCCTCGTGGCTCTTTATCAGCAGACGTTGGCGATTATGTAGGAGGTGGATGTTCTTGCAGTCTACAAGGGGCACATGCAGTTCTTGCAGATCTATGCAGTAGTGAGCTAACTGAGAATATTTATAGATTTTGGCAGAACCGTCTTCTCTAGAACTTGCTGGAAAGTCCAAGATAAGGTTGGTGGGATTTCACATCTACCCTCGTCCCACTAACTAGTGTCTTATTTATATAATTTAAAAGTTTTTGCAAACTACAGAATATCCATCCAGCGGCTTTGACTGGAAGGGAGGTGAGCGGAATAGAGGAAGGCCGACCCTCCTTCACGCTTTTATTCACAAAGCTGCCGACTGCGGATCAGAATGCAATGGATTTGCAGGGTTCCCTCTCTGTTCATGTTGGACCGTATTGTGGGATTAACCTGGTTGCACGGTGACGGACACATTAAGCCGATACAGCGTCTGGTGAAACGTTGGATATTGGTATAATAACAAAAATAGACTCCTGAAAATACACTGCATGAAAAGTGAGATCTTCGTCCCCGTAAACGCCCGGAAATCTCCCTAATTTCCGACAATTTCCGACAATTTGCAACCCGCGCACGTCGCGTTTGTCTGTGCCACAAATTGTCGGAAACGAACCATGACGTAGGTGGAGAGCTGGCGGAGGTGCGAGGTGCGAATGGCCCGAATTAGCATATGAATGCAGCGAAACCGCGGGTGGCCGAGCCGAGCGGGCTTGAATATCCTTACTCCTTATTGGATGAAACCACAACTTACTAACAAATAAAATCACTCGTGATTGGCAGCAAAACCACACGTGGGAAGACCAGGCTTGAGTTTCCTTGTTCATGATTGGATGAAACCACTGCTTTCAATCACTCGTGATTGGTTGGCAGATCTGTCGCTATTGGTCACCCGCCTCATTTTATTTATATATATTTATATATTCATATTATGCTGTATATTCATTTCATGGTTATCCTATGTAGGCTACTACACTATTATTAGGATACCAACCAGGACATCAATGAATTTATAGAGAAAATGAACATTTGCCACATGTTTATGCAAAGAAAGAGCTTTATTAACAACACACAAACAACAACTACATACAAAGTGAGGATCTGCCCACACTTGGGTAACGGCGGTTTAAAAACTACAGCTCAGTAAACTGTCCGTTTGCCTCCTCGGGGTTGTAGACCGTCACTGGCGCCGTGTTTTCCGAGGCAGGTCTGTTGTGCAGGCGGCTCGTGTGCGTGTGGCGACCGTACAATCCACCTGAGACCCCGCCAACAACGCCGTCCCCTCCGCCCGACGTGAGCTCTACGGTGGCGGAGTTCCAGCGTTCCACCTCGTCATCAGCCAGCACACTTTGTCTCGATTCCAGCAGCTGTAAAAACAACAATGAATCAGTACTGTGCGATGCGATGCGTACGGACTCAACACATCTTATCAATGCACCTGAAACAAGTCAGCAAATAAACTCTGACCGTCTTTCTTCTTGCTCGACTCCGCGCTGAATCCTTCGCAGCTTCCGCCCGCAATGAGTGTTCCGCCTGAACCTGAAGCTCCTGCGTCCCGTCTCACAATACGTCTCACAGGCGGCTGGAAAACAATTAAATGAGTGTGATATGAATACAAAAAAAATCAAAATCAAGTCAAAGTAACATTTAACAAGGAAGGAGAAACAGTGTCACTTACACACAATGACGTCGTCTAAATCTGGACTTTTCCCGGAGCAAATACGAGGTCACCGCCTCATTATGAGGCGAGATTAGTCTGTGAAAACAAAATGTACAGTTATGATCGGTATCCATACGTATATATTCCCTTATAGCGCAGAATGAAAGCATATTCTTTAAATCTGACCCTTTGCTCCGGTTCGTAGCGCCTGTAGTTCGTCTCGGAGTTGTGAAGACGGCGCAGCGCTTCCTGTAAACGACACGGCAAAGAAAACACACTTTAATAAAGCTGTTTCTGCTCACTTGTAAGGCTACTAGGCTACTCTTAGCTTAGCTTGAGGCTACGCTACTTTTAGCTTAGCTTGCAGTCATCGAACGTATTCTTACCGCTATCGTGGGATTGTGCGCCCGTCTCCTCTTCTTTGAGTCGGTTCCTCTCCTCCATGAACAGAAACCCGCAGAGTCCCGAACGCTCCAGTGGAGCGAACCGCTCGTTGATATCGGCAGTTTGTTGTTGGAGTTGACGAGACGATCCACTGAGATCATTCAGCAGCTTCTTCTGTCTGTCTGCGGACTGGCCGAAAGTTGGTGACCGCGGAGAGGAGTTGAAGGCGAGTTGAACGCGAGACGTCGTCCAGCCATTATTCACGAACCAGCAAAAACCAAACAAAGGAACTGGAGATACAGTTCTTCTGAATATAGTAACACACACGTGTCTGTTTGTATGCTCGTCTTGCAAGTACTGCTGTATCAGTCATGCCTATGACCTCACACGTGATTGGACGAGGAGTCTAAGGGTCCTCCAATCACATACGAGGTTATTGTTATACGGAAGGACCAGTATTTTAGGAAGACAAATGGTTGGGACTTTGAAACAGCTGATATGCTTTATGTAAAGCAGTGTTTTGGTGTCAGCAGAACGACTTTCCCTAGAAAACTGCACAGTGGTGCCTCTTTCTCCATTCCACCAGACACTCTTGAGTCTGACAGACATGCAATGTTGACAATGTATCATCACATGTACCCTTGTGTCACTGAGGTTGAATGTTTTGCCATGACATGTAAACGGGTAACATATATGAATGTAACTTACTCAATCGATAGATGCAGAGCAGAAAGGTCAGCATATGTTTATGCTAAGTGGTGTGGAAACACTAACAGTTTTGAGGAACCCGTCCTTGACCCTCTAGCAGAACTACGACCAGCCATTATAAAGCAGTTTATAGTTGTTAATGTTGGGTCAAAGGGTACGGCATTTAAACATGTTCTTGCACAAGTTTCCTGGCTTCATCTCCACCCGGACAGACATTTTTATGGAAAGCCAATAGAAGTTTGGGGCTTGCAGGGAACAGACACGTCGTACCCAGCATCATTTCTGCCAGTTGAGCGCATTGCTAGAAGATGTGTGGGTAATACATCCTCTGTGCATTTAAGAAGACCAAAGAAAAGGTCACTGTAGTCCTGCCATTATGCACTGTAGTTGAGCTCTAGGAGACTGTGATCTCTGCAGACCCCTCATGCTGATTCAAATGTTGTTTGCATGGAATGCTCATTTTACCTTGATTAAAACTCATCTTTTAAAGAAGTTATTTTGTGTATCTTTTTTTACATAACATTTGCCATTGCTAATGGCATACACAGTAATCTAGCATATTTGAATTAAATAAATCAATTCAAGCTAAAATGTAAGAATCTATAATTAGGCTACGGAGCCTGATCTATTTGTACCAGAGATTTTCTTACCTTTTAAAAAAATGTCACCTGGGCTAAAACTCCCTCTGCGACGCTGATTTGCATTTGTATAGCTCACAGCATTTTCATTTACATGTCAAAGCCTCCCCTAGAGTTAGGAGGAAGGGAGTCATGGGGGGACAACTGCCAAGGGAGGCCCACGTCAATTTCTGACAATTTACGGCAGTTTTCGGCGTTGCCCGCAAATTGCCGCAAACCTGAAATTCCACGACAATTTACAGTGCCGCATACTGCCGAAAATCCCACTTTTCATGCAGTGATAGCTGTGACGGAGTCTAGTATGAATCATGGCGGGAA